TTTGCATTTAGATTGGGGAAATGCAACAAACAGTTCTACAATGTTGCCTTTATGGATTGAAATTGTTAAACTTCACAGTTGCCAGAAGATGTGATACCTTGTAAGGACTGGTACGGAGAAACATAGGAGAAAGGAGCAGGACTAGGCCATTCCACCCTCAAGCCTGCTTTGTTATTCAATATGATCATGGCTGATGTTTGAGCTCAATATCCTATCTTATAATTTCAGTTGCCATTTTAATTCATGTTAGAATCCCAGTTGATGATACTACAAAACATGTCAGATCACAGAGTGAAATTTGGCCTGATGGATCGATCATCTTGTTTATTTTGGTTAACTTGGTGGTAATTCTTTGAAATATAGTCCCACAAGGCAGCATATTTTCCTTATTCTTTAAAAGAAGAGCATATTGAACTCCCCTGTTTAATAAGTTTATCTTTAGTCCATTTACTATGTGTATCAAAAGAACTAGAAGATACAGTAAACTTGCAGCTGTGAAATAATCATTGGTTGACTTGCATTTCAGCTGAAGCTTTTTAACTGTAACCACAGTGGATCTGTGAAATCTGTCTGGAATGACATACGCTCAAGTAGAAATCTTGCAGCAGAAAAGGAAATGGACAGTAATATATCAAACATACATACATTTTACTTCACATTCAAGTTACTGCACCAAGGAGGGGTCACCAAGGATCTTGATTCCATGTACCCTCCTATAACGGGAAAAGGCCCTTTAAGACCATTGAAACTGGCCCACCATTCAGAGAGAATGTGGTTAATCTGATCTATTACAAATATTTGCTTTAACCAATAATTTTTGAACCCTTTTATAACAAAGGTGTTCGGATCTCAGTTTCAAATATAACAATTGATCTAACATCAGTTGTTGTTTGTGGAAGAACGTTCCCAACTTCTGCCACTCTTGCCATGAGCATTTCTTAATTTCGTTCCTGAAAGGTCTAGCTCCAAGTTTGACTGTACATCTGTTTATAAACTCTATAACCAGTGGAAGTACATGGTTCCAATCTTCGTTCCCTGTTCCCCTTTACGTTTTGAACTTTTTAACTTAGTTATTTCCTTAACTGCCTACATTTCAAGGAACCCAACATCGGTTTGTGTAATTTCTGCTTGTAATTCAACACTTGGAGTCCATGCTGCTGCGTTTCTTTCAAGACCAAAATGTCCTTCTAATGCATGGGACCTAGAACTACTCATGATACTCCAGTGTGATGTGATAAAAAGCATGGCATTTTAATGAACTGTATACCTGAGCTTCAAAGTCTCGTTGCATCTCCAATATTTCTAGCTTTTTATCTTTTGAGTATACCCTGTAATTTCCACTTAGATTTAACATGGATGGCCTCCCATTTCCCTAATTTGGAATCCTGGTACAGGTTTAAGGCCTTTATCTAGTGTGTCAAATTACCAGAATCTCTGAAAGGGTTGTTGTAAAGGCAAAGTTTGTTTTAAATCAGTAAATGATCTAGAGTCATAGGGTTTGTTTCTATGCTGTATGACTCTTCGGTCCAACCAGCCCATGCTGAATCCCAAACTAAACTAGCCCCACCTGCCTGCTCCTGGCCCATATCCCTCCAAACCTTTCCTATTCATATATCCATCCAAATATCTTTTAAATGTTGTAATCATATCCGTATCCACCACTGCCTCAGGAAGTTCATTCCACATACGTGACACCCTCTGTGTAAAAGAACATTTACCTCCTAAGTCTCTCCTCTCACCTTAAAAATGTGTCCCTTAGTCTTGAAATTCACCATCCTAGGGAAAAGACAACTACCGTCAACTCTATCTCTACCTCTTATTTTATAAACTTCTAACAGGTCACCTCTCAACCTCCTTCGCTCCAGTGAAAAAAGTCCCAGCCTATCCAGCCTTTCCTTATAACTCAAACCTTCCATATTCGGCAATGTCCTGGTAAATCTTTTCTGAACCCTCTCCAGCTTAATAATATCCTTCTTATAACTGAGTGACCAGAACTGGACACAGTATTCCAGAAGAGGTCTCACCAGTGTCCTGTACAACTTCAACATAATGTCCCAACTCCAAACTCAAAGGACTGAGCAATGAAGGCAAGTGTACCAAACTCCTTTTTCACCATCCTGTTTATTTGTGACGCAAATATTAAAGAATTATGTACCTGAACCCCTAGGTCCTTTTGTTCTACAACACTACCCAAGGCCGTACCATTACTTGTATAAGCCCTACCCTTGTTTGTTGTACCAAACTGCGATCCTGTCATTTATCCAGATTGACCTCCATCTGCCGTTTTTCACCCCTTTGACCCATTTGATCAAAACCCCTTTGTAATCTTAGAAAACCTCCTTCAGCATCTACAGTGCCACCGCTTTTGGTGTCATCTGCAAACTTACTAACTATGCCTTCTATGTTCTCCTCCAAATCATTTATATAAAACAAAGGAGCACCCAGATCCAATCCCTGTGGAACTCTGCTGATCACAGTTTCTATTCATAAAAGTGGGCTGGTGGGAATGGTGAGCAAGATCTCTGTACCTTTTTCCAGGATCTGTCTGTCACTTAGGAACTGATTGGGGTCTCGGATGTAGTCACCTCCAGTTGGAGTTCTTCCCTTTTAAGTGTTGCAAACTGTTCTTCAGGAGCAACTGCTCAGAATTCACACTTTCAGCATATGCATATGTGAATAATGCAGAAGAGGGGACTGGCTAAAATGGTGACTGGAGTCAGGAGTATTCTCCATGTAAATTCATATCTGCATGCCTGCCTACCCCTAAGAACAGTTCACTCCCCCACCACTTGCTTACCAAAAGTTAGTTCACTTCTGCCTTAAAAATATTCAAGGATTCTCCCACAACCTTTTCAGGAAGAAAGTTCTAAAGACTTATGACCCTGAGAGGTTTAAAAAAAAAATCTTTACATAATGTCTTTTCAAGTGAGCGACCATTGATTTTCAAACAGTGATCTGCCCATTATAGACCCCCCCCCCCCCCCCCCCATTAAAGGAAACTTGCTCTCCACGTCTACCCTGTCAAGACCCCTGAAGATCTTAGGTTCCAATCAAGGCATCTTTTCATTTTCTAAAGTCCAGGTACAAGCATGGCCTGCAGAACCTTCGTTTCATAAGGAAACTCCCTCATTCCAGCTATTAGTCTCTCAAACCTTCTCTAAATGGCCTTCAATGCATTTCCATCCTTCCTTAAATCAGATGACCACTTCTGTGCACACTACTCCAGATGTGGTCTCATCAGTGCCCTGTATAAGTGAAGTATAACCTTCCTATTTTTGTATTAATTCCTCTTGGAGTAAATGATAACATTCTGCTAACTTTGCTAATTACTTGCTGGAGCTGTAAACTAACCTTTTGTGATTCATGCATGAGGACACTGAGATCCCTCTGTATATCAGGACTCTGCAGTCCCTCACCTTTTAAATAATAAGCATTTTCAACTTCTCTGGCTGAAATGGAAAGTTTCACTTTTTCATATGTTGTACCCCATTTGTCACAACTTTGTCCATTCAATTATCTTTATTTAAAATTTTATTCCTGGGATGTTGTCCTCTCTGACACAGCCTACATTGATTGTCTATCCCTAACTGCCCAAAAATCAGCTAAAACTACATGCTGTGGGCCTGAAGTTACATGTAGGCCAAACTAGGTAAAATGACTAATTTCCTTCTTTATAGGTCATTAGTGAGCCAGAAGGGTTTATCTGACAATTGACTGTTGTTACATGTACACCACTCCAACAAGTGACTTCTTGCCTTTTAATATTTCTCATCTCTACCCAAGCTGTTACAATGTCTTTGGTTTCCTGAGCGTAGGCCATCGTTAACTGACAGAGCAACACTTGTACCTTTTCATATTTTCCTGTCATTCCTAAATGCCCTGAACCAGTCAACATTCAGTCCTACTCCATGTCATCCTATAGCCGTGTTTGTATCAAATCGTAAGTTTCTTTTCTATGTACATCTCAGTTAATGTGTTTTACTTTGACATACATTCATGTACAGAGCTTAAAAGCTTTATTCTTTCACTTTAAATTTCTAGTCTTATCTGTTGGTGGGCTTTTAATCTGTATTCCCTGTCCGTTCATGTTATTGTCTATCATTTCTCTTTTGACTTAGCTATACTCATTTGCAATATCTTTCCAAATTTAATCCCTTGACCCCACTATTTAGTTAAAATCCTCTCTGCATCTCCAGTTAGAACACTGGCCCCAACACAGTTCAGAGACCATCCCATTGGTACAGATCCCAATTTTCCCAGTGATGGTGCCAATGCCCAATACATCAAAAACCACTTCTGCACATTCATGTCTGATCTAATTTTCCCCATGCCAATTTGTACATGACCCATGTAGTAATCTATAAATTTAGACCTTTGAGATTCTGCTTAATTTGGCACCTGGCTCCTCAAGTTGACTCTGTTTTCCTCCTCTTCCTTTGCCCCACATGCTGTTAGTGCCTACATGGGTCATAATGATCGGATTCTCCCCTTCTCACTGAAAGTTCCTCCATAACCTTGAGCTGATGTACCCTGATGCTGGACAGGCAACACCGACGTCTAGACTCAAGCTCCTTGTTGAAAACAGTGTTAATCCTCCTCATGATACTGTCTCCTACTGCCACTGATTCCTTCTGCAATTTTTGTTTTGTGTTGATAACATTACTGGAGTCAGTTTATAATGGATCATAATGCACAGGTCACTTCTTGAAGCTTGCAGTGTTTAACGCAAGCTTACTCCTGCATGATTACTGTTATAATGGTACTTTATCAGTACGTAGCAAGAGGAGGAATTCTGATCTTTACAGATGTTGATAGGTTTGATTAATATACATGGGGATTAAGGTGAAAGGATGAACACAATGGGTGGAGAAAAGAAAAAATCCTTGTTTGAGATAACCATACATGTAACGTGAAAGAGCAACACTTTATTTTGTAACTAAGCTTTCTCATCATGTTTAGTTCAAATATGATTCTAAACAATTATTCTTTTTATATTTCAGAGCTGAGAAGACTGAGGTGTTGAGTGAGGACCTTTTGCAGGTAGAAAAAATTGTGTTATTACAAGCTATGACTCCAGATGTAAGGCAATTGAACATATTTAACCAAGATTGCAAATAGTTTGGAAACCTTGCTGAATCTGAGGAAAGAGCCTCAACCCAGAAGCAAACATTGGATCAAATATATGTTTTAATGAAATACTAAGCACACTATTATGACTTTTTGTTTGAAAATAGATAAACACTGTGTGTTAGCCTATATGTGCAGTTCACATTTGAGGCATGATTTCTCTTCTTGTCAAGCAGTAGCACGCTGTTGTTTTTTTCCAGCTTTAATCCTGTCCAACCCCTGAGGCTGACTGAGTTACAGCAGCGAATAATTTTAAATTTTACTGCTACAGACTTTGTCATTCCATTTGTGATTGTAGATGGTTATTGACTTCTTTGTACAACCTAGAGTATTAGCCTTTTCTTTTAAGGTGCGAGATTTAGTCATTTTACATGGTTGATAATCCTGAATGTCATAGGTGGAATCCAGTTGAACAGTAACTTCCTGAAAATGTAATACAACATGTGAAGAATGTGCAAATTACTGCGAAGAAGCAATTATGCTGGCTGAAGAGAGCTGCTGTAATTAGTTTAAGTCCACTCTTCCAGGGATTGTGAAACTCCTGCATAATTGTGAACCTAGAAAATAACCAAAAACTGAGCAGTAGCTTTAATAAAACTGAAACATCCTTTCAAAAACTGACAAGTCCAAAATGGACCTGCATAATTATCTACAGCATATTAAATTAAGTTCTTGGACTGAAAAAGCAGCTGGACACAGTCTCGTTACTTAAACTGAACCAAATGATCCCTTCACTTTCAGTAGTTAAATATCTGCAAAGGAGTACAGATGTTGAAAGTAATATTTTTCTCTGAGGGGGCTTGTGGCTTGAAGGTCCTAGTCATGGAATAGTTACAGTATAAAAAGAGTCCTTTCAGCCCTTCACGTCCTTACTGGTTTTTGGCTAGTCTGGGTACCATCCACTCCCTATAGCCTTGCAAATTTTTGCACTTCAGATAATTATCCAGTTCTCTTTCATTGAAATCCAAGGTTGAATTTGCTTCCACGATCCCTTCAGAAGTGTACTGTAGGCCCGTACCAAAGGGGCATGGAAAAAGATTTTCCTCATGACATCTTTGGTTCTTTTACCATTTGCCTTCAGGATTTTCACTTCGCAATTGAAAAGAAAATGGCATAGTTCCAAGTCAATGTTGTTTGACCAGAGAGGACTTCACAGATAGTTGTGTTTCCATGCATCTGCTCCCTGGTCCTTCAGGAAGTGGTATTTGATTTGGAAAGTGAATCAATGAAGTTTTCGTAAATTGTTGCGATGCATTTTGTAGATGGAACATGCTGCTACTGTGCATCATTAGTAGTTAGAATGGACGTTTTAAGGTGGGGATAGGGTGTCAATCAAGCACTGCTTTATCCTCATTGGTATCAAGCTTCCTGAGGGTTGTTGGAGCTGCAGTTATGTAGGCAAATGGAGAATATTGCATCACTGGCTTGCACCTTGCCAAAGATGGACAGGCTTTGGGGAGTCAGAAGCTGAGTTACAGACTGTATAGTTTCCAGCCTCTGACTTGCTCCTGTAGATACAGTATTTATGTGGTTGGTGCAGAGATAGTGAGATGATAGTGAGAGATTCAACAATGCCATTGAATGTTGAGGGAAGGTGTGTAAATTCTCGCTTCTTGGAGATGTTATTGCCTGGCACTTGTGTGATACAATGTTACTGGCCACTTATTAGCTGAAGCCTGAATGTTGGCTCCTTCCATATCTGCAAAGTCATGAATGATGATTATACAATGTTAAGCACCAACAAACATCCCCACTTATCATAGAATCATAGAGGCTATTTAGGCCCATCAAGTCTACACCACCTCTCCAAAGAGCATCCAACCTGGATCCACTCCATCCCTGTAACCCTGCATGGGGTTTTAATGCACGGCACATTGCTGGACACTGAGGCAGACTTCAGCATGGCCAATTCACCTAACCTGCACATCTTTGGACTGTGGAAGGAAACCGGAGCACTCTGAAGAAACTCGCAGACATGGGTGAATGTGCAATCTCCACACGTACAGTCACTCAAGACTGGAATCAAACCTGGATCCCTGGAGTTGTGAGGCAGCAATGCGAACCACTGCACTACCCTTCCACTCCATTAAGATCTAATAATGGAGGGAAGGTCATCGATGAAGCAGCTCCAGCCTTCTCAGTCTTTCTAAATTTTTGAAAGACTATTAGATTCATCTGTTAACTTAGAACTCCACGTTATTTCTTCTTGCTGTCCCTGTACTACATTTTCTGTATTGTGCATGTTTATTGCACCAGAATTATTTGCATTAAAAAATTTGCAATTCGGGTCTCTTTAAGTGCATTACTTGGTGTTTATAAATGATAGTTTCATGTCATATAACTTTAATTTTTATATATTAAGGGAAAGTTGAAGAAGGAGTACAGGTTAAGTTCCGTGTCCTCCTTTGGGCTCTGTTTCACATTTTGAGCTGACTTTTATATTGCGAGGTATATTCTTCAGATCCTCTAGAATGTTTGGTATGTCTTATTCACTGGAGGATTGGTGTAATGTTAAGCGTAACATTGATAGTTTTTTTTTTATTTACCCACAATGTTGTTAAGAAGGAATTCCAGGATTTTGACCCAGCAACTCTGGTGAATTGGCAATATATTTCCATGTCAGAATGGTGAGAGAAGCTTGCAGGCAGTGGTGTTCCCATGTATCTGCTGCCCTGGTCATGTCAATCAAGCAGCTGCTTTGTCCTGGATGGTGACAGCTTTTTGATTGTTGGAGCTGCAAGTGCAGAGTATTCTATCACACTCGTGATTTGTGCCTTGTAAATGGTGGATAGACTTTGGGGTGTCAGAAGCAGGATTCCTAACCCCGACCTGCTTTTGCAATCTCAACACTTGCGTGTTTAATCCAGGTCAGTTTCTGGTCAGTAGTAACCCCACTATGTTGATGGTGGAGTTTCGGTGATGGTAATGCCATTGAATGTCAAGGAGTTATGGTTAGCTTCACTTTTTTCGAGATGGTCATTACCTGGCACTTGTGTCAGTCCAAATCTGGTCTATCTACATTTGGACGTGGAGTACTTCAGCATCAGGGATGTTGTGAATGGTGGCCAAGATTGGGCAATCATCAGTGAGCATCCTTCTGACTTTATGATGCAGGGATGGTCATTGAAGCAGCTGAAGATGGTTGGACCTAGGACAGTACTCTGAGGAATGGCTGCAGAGGTGTCCTGGAGATGAGGTGACTGACGTCCAGCCAGTGCAACAATCTTCCTTTGTGGTAGGCATGACTGTAATCAGTGGAGAGCTCTCCACTTGACTCCCATTGACTCAAGTTTTTCTTGGGCTCCTTGATGCCGCACTCTGTCAAATGTGACCTTGATCTCAAGGTATATCTCTCTCGCATAACCTCTGGAATTCAGCTCTTTTGTCCATATGTAATGTCAGGAAGTGAGCAGCCCTGATAGAACTCAAACTGAGCGTCAGTGAGCAGGTTATTGCTCAAAAAGTACTGCTTGATATATCTGTTGATGACCCTTCCATCGCATTACTGATTGAGAGTACACTGTTGGGGCAGTAATTTTTCCTGCTTTTTTTTGTATCGAGGACATACCTGGAAATCTTAAACTTCTTAAAATTCAACATAGTAGTTTGCAAGAACCTTTCCTATTTTGTACAAATTCTGCTTGACCCTGGCTACACTATCAGTTCACAGATTAAAATGAAAAATCTGTGCATGGTTCAGAAAATTCTATTTGAGTTCTTAGCAGTTTGTTCCTGAGCTCCTGTTTGGAAATAATTCCAGTAATAATATGTAATGAGAGATGTGTGACCATGCTCCTGCATGCACACACGCACAATTGATGCTAATCCCAATCTGTTACTTTAAAGTGGGTGGGACAGAAAGCTGCCCCAAAAAAGGCCCCAGTTGGATTTTACTGAATAATCACTGTGTTCTAAAAATACAGATATGTGAAATTCTTTTTCTGGTTTTCAGAATCCTGTTTCAAAGTGCTGACTTACATGGAAGTTCAATTTCTTTTAAATGTGGCTGTATAAATAGGAAACTGCACAGATACATATGAGCTGTCTTCAGAATATTTGCAAAATTTAATTTTAAAAATCACATTTGAGAGTCGCCATATTGTCATAGTGTTTTAAACATCCTTGATTTTGATCAATGCATAAGATAATCTCAAGGAAATGTATTGACCTGACCTGTCCAAAAAGTTATTAACTTCTAAGGTACATTTCATAAGGCATAAATACCATCTGTGCTTCACCTTCGTAACAATAGGAATGGTCACAGTGGAGTCTATAACCTCTGAAAATAGAATGAGGTAGTTGCTTGTACAAGACCATGAGGTATGAGCACACGTATATACTGGATTGGATGAAGAAATGCACTTCAAACTTCATGAGCAGAATGCTCCATTTCTGTACTGTAATAATATGTGATAGACCTTTATTTGTTCTTTGATTGTGAGTACTTCTCGTAAGGCCAGTTCTTGTTGCCCATCACTGCCAGTGTTTAAGAAGGTAGTTGGGATCTACTGCCTTGAACTCTGCTTAGGGTTGTGAGGTTTTGCTTTGAATCTTCATGTGACTGAACAGGCCAATTCTCACGAATCTTTATTGTGTCTCTGGCAGCCTGTCAACAGCTCAGAAACCTTGAGGGAATAGCTCTTACTCACTTCCCAATATAGTGCAGTGGAAATGAGACCAACCCTATTTGCTGCAGTAACGGCCTTGCCTAACTCATCATGGGCTAGGAATAGAATTTGGGACAGCTTCTCATCACCTTCTGACACGTCAGCTGTCTGTATGTGAATCACTTGGAACAATGGGCTGAGATATATGGTTTAAATCATGTTTTCTAATTTGCCTAGTTTAATACACCAAGCTTTTCAGTCTGCCCATTGAAGTAAACCTTACTTTGAATCAATTACTTTTTCTTTACAGAAGGTCTCTTTTTGAAGAAAATCATTTTCCAAGATGCTATTCAAATATTCCAAATTTATTAACTTTTAAAAATGTTCAAATATTCAATGGCATTTCATTTATTTTTTTACACCCCTTTATTAAAAGTTAGTCTCTAACTTAGATAGCATTCTTAAATTTTTCTGAAGAAGGGTCTAGGCCCGAAACGTCAGCCTTCCTGCTCCTCTAATGCTGCTTGGCCTGCTGTGTTCATCCAGCTCCATACCTTGTTATCTAACATTCTTAAATGTTGTGCTGTTAGTGATGGGAAAGCTCATGAGTGGGATATGTGAAAAAAGGGGATCCAGGTCTGGAGATCTCGGAGGTACTGTGAGGGAAAAGGATTAGTTAGATTTGATATTTGAGAATAGTTTAATAAACAACCTGTGGCGGTAAAATCCAGTATAGCGTGCAAAGGGAGGAAATGTGGCCAGGACCCTCATCTGTAATGTCTATGTTTCTTTTTCTGTCTGTCTTTCTGTCATGAGGCTAGCTGGGCCAGAATTTATTGCCCATCCCTAGTTGCCCTACCAAAAGTGGTGGCGAACTGCCTCCTTGAAATGCCGCATTCCATTTACTGTAGGAACACCCACAATGCTGTTAGGAAGGGAGTTCCAGGTCTTTGACCCAATAATACTGAAAGGTGTCTTGTTGGTGAGTGGCTTACAGTGGAACTTGCAGGTGATGGTGTTCCCATATATCTGCTGCCCTTGTCTTTCTAGACAGCTGTGATCATGGGTTTGAAAGGTATGGTCTAAGAAGCCTCGGTAAATTTCTGCAGTGCATCTTGCAGATACTACACACTTATGGTGGGTGTCATTGGTGGAGGGACCAAATGTTTGTGGATCTGGTGGCAATCAAGAGGGCACTTTTCTATCACTCTGTTTATAACTCTTTCAGACAGCGTAGTCGTCAAGAAACACTGCTGATTTGTATGTAAGTACTTTGTGATAGGTGTTGTTGACTTTTTTTTCTTTTTGGATGGTCAAGATATTTGATATATTATTTGCAAGTGGTGGCCAGTTGATGAAACTGGTGACAGTTTCAACTATGTTTTCCACATAGTGAACTTGAATTTTGTATTTAATTCTGTAATCACTACAGTATTTTGGTATTGTGAAATATTGTACCATTCTTTTCAATATTTCTTTGTTCGGGACTTATTGTTTCCTTGCCTAAAAATCAATGTCAAGTGATTTCTCCATTATACAGTCCACGAAAAGGGAATGTGTGCGCAGGCAGAGGACATGGCTTCAGTACTCAGTGAGTGCTTTGTGTTTGTTTTGACCAAGAAAGTAGAAAATGCTCAAGTCATAGTGAAAGAGGAAGTAATTGAAGTACTGGATGAACTAAAACTTGATAAAGAGAAGGTTTTAGAAAGGCAGGTTATACTTGCTGTCAAGATTGAACAGGCTGCATTCCAGAATGCTGCAGGAAATCACAGAATGATTGGCCATAATCTTCCAGTCTTCTTTAGAGATGGGTGTGGTGCCAGACCACTTCAAAAATGCAAAATTTTAAAAAGGAATGTGAGGATAACCCGGCAATGATAGGCCTGTCAGCATAATATCAATGATGGGAAAAGTTTTATCCTCTGTTCTGGGATAGGTGAATAGTGTCCTGCAGCCATTTCATGACATCCTTCACTCTAGCACCAGGGATATGCCCCAGAGTCACCCTAATGGCTGCAGAAACACCTGACTGTTCCCCTAACTATGAATTCCCTATCACTACTTTACCACTCCTCTTCGCCCCAGCCTGTACAGCTGAGCTGCTCAATGTGCCTCGAACTTCATTCTGACTGCACTGTTCTGACTCACCAACACTTTCACCAGTATCCAAAATGATAAGCTGATGAGCAAGCCTGCCTTCTGCACTCTTGCATTACCAATTCACTAGCCTGTGTTGTAACCATCTCTCTGAACATGTTATCCACATGGCCTCGGACTTGCTAATGCGCAGGTGACTCTAGAACTGCTCCATCTCCAAAACTCGGAGCTCGAATTTCTGTAGCTGGTGACACTTCCTGCAATATGGTTGTAGAGGTCACCATAGTGCCAGAACTTCCCATATACGTTTGATCATGTGTTAGAAGCGATGGAGCCACCTTGCCATGCCTTAACTTTACTTCACTTGTGTTAGTTTTAATTTACTTTGGCTAACTTGTATTACGTTTATTTTACTTGGCCTTAACTTAATAACCTTTACAACTATTGACAAACCTTACATGTCCTGGGAGGTGATTGTCTAGTGGTATTATCGTTGGACTGTTAATCCAGAGACTTAGATAATGTTCTGGGGACGTGGGTTCGAATCCTGCCATGGCAGATCTGGAATTAAAAGTCTAATGATGACCATGAATCCATTGTCGGAAAAATCCATCTGGTTCATTAATGTCTTTTAGGGAAGGAAACTGCCATCCATACCTGGTTTGGCGTACATGTGACTCCAGATCCACAGCAATGTGGTTGACTCTTAACTGCCGTCTGGGCAATTAGGGATGGGGAATAAATGCCTCCTGGCCAGTAATGCCCTCATCCCATGAATGAATAAATCCAACTAACACTTGACACAGTTGCAGTCAACCTTAAAGTGCCTCTTTGTGCAACAAGTTCCAACGTGAACCTAATTGCTACTCACTTGTCTGGACCTCAAAGGTGTAATCTCTTTATTGTGTGTGCCTTAAATTTGAGTTGTTTTAAGTGAGGGTAATGCCATTGATGTGTGCATGGAGTTCCAAGAAGTGTTTAATAAAGTGTCACAATTAGCTTGCCAGCATTGTTGAAGCCTGTGGAATAAAACAGATAGTGACGTAATTGTAGAGTTGGCTGAATGCTGACGATAAGTTGTCATGGTTAACAGTTGTTCTACAAATTGGTGGAATTTATGCTTTCAGGTATCTCAGAACTTAGTGCTAGGACCACTAATTATCTTGATCTGTATTAATGATGTGGACTTCGGTGTACAGGGAGCAATTTAAAAATTTACAGATAGCAATTCTTTCCGCTTGTCAGGATTTGCTGTTCCTTCGGGCACTTTCATTTGCTTGGAGGCACAGAGCAACTGATTTGCAACCATTAGGTCTGACATATTGATTTAAAAGCCACGGCTTGCAACAACTGGTGAAGGGAAATAAGTTGGCATTCTTCAGGCTTAAGGTGTTTTTACCTCGGAAGGACATCATGTCCTTTCCAGAGATCCTATGGTTCCTAATCAAACATTCACACTCCTGATCTACCTGGGAACCAATTACAGATTTTTAGAACAGAAAGAAGGCTTTTGCGGTCAACATCTGGACACTATTCCTAACACCAGTCACTTGTTGATTACTTGATAGCAACCAAATCTGCCTTCCTACGTACCCACATCTCCAGCTCAACTGTAGTAAGCTCCCCCACTGCTTGAACAAACAACAGTGCAAGCAGCTTTTAGAATGAATGTCAGATAACTTGCTTCTAAAAGAAGCAGTAATCCTTTACACCGTGTTTGGTTTGTAAAATCGTCCTTTTCCCATTTGTGCGCCATCAAAAGTAAGAATTATACAGTCTTTATATGAGCCAAAACTGGATACTGTCCAGGTCTTGCTGCAGTTAGACAGGGACTGCTTTAGTGCTCTTGCAGAGAATCGGCAGTGACATGATGGAGCTGAATGGCCACCTGTATTGAAAACATTTTGTAATTAAGAAGTACAGAAAGGAATCTAATTGTGACTAAAATGTGCTGTTCTTTTTGGTTTCTGGTTAAGATTGAGAAACGCATGGATGCAATAAGAATAATTTCCCACAATGCCCACAAACGACTCGCTGCATGCTTGCAGGTTCAGCAAGGTGTAGAAGTGGAGAAAAGACAGGTAAGTAATACTGTTACACTGAGTTAAGAGTTTTGCAAGGAGATGTAACCAATAGTGTTTTGCCCCAGTTATGTTGAGGAAAATTTAGAAATTGTTCATCTAAATGAATTCATTTCGGTTCTCTCTTGTAAATATATTTGAATTCTGACCCTCAATAAACAAAAATTCAGGAGCACATTTATGAGGTGTGGCTACCCTTCTTCCACTGAATCAGTGGAATCAATAGGTAATATATTTAGTCATCCTGATGTTTAGCTGAAGGAATCTTTATTTCATCTGGAATTGGATGTCGGATCACAATAGCAACATGAATGAAATTTTCCACTACCAGAATAGATAGACAGACTCCCTCTGTGGAATTAGGGTAGGTAGGTGCTCAAGGCCATGCTGACCCAGATTGCCTCTTGCCATGCTGTGTGACTCAATTAGTCTGTGATGCTGTCATTAAGTCAAAAAGAAATTCTGTCTCCCAAAGAAACAAGTAATATAAGAATTTTAATGGCAGTGTGATGCCAGGTATGTAGGCCATATGCCCTAACAAATGGCAGAATCGTATCAAAAGGTACATAACTTTGGCTGCTGACACTTGGCAGTGTACGAACTGTATCCAATCTGTGTTTGTAAAACTCGGAACATAATGTCTAATATTAAATGTGATTCCACAATTGAACGGCACTTGATGAATAAATAAAAGCATGCTAATAATCACACTGCAAGCAATGGAAGATTAGTTGGCCCATAATGTGGCTCATGGAAACTTGCTGAAAGCTATGTGTATTCATGTGCAGTGACCTGTCCTCAGCAAGAAAATGGAATTTGTCTATGCATCATGCCTTTTTTGAATTAAAAACATGGGGATCATAAGTTCTCTTGTCCATTCTTCATGGTACTGCCTTGCCCATGTATTATCACCAACACATGACTCTGATACCTACTAACATTTTATGTAGCCCCTTATCAACTTTTGGAAATCCAGATTTTTGAAGACTCCTCAAATTCTCTCTTCAGAACATCATTCGTAATTCTATCGATGTCATTGATTGCCATGTGAGACAAATCAATTCATGATTATTAAACCCTCTATTAGGTCATTCTTGGTTGTCTTTAGAGAGACCCAGCTACTACTACCTTTCCTGATGCGCATGTCCATCATTTCTGATACCCGTTGGTGTACATCTTCACTACACTCTCTCCAGTGCTTCATGAACGTAACAGGGAAGATAGGTACGAGGGTGGGATAGGTTGAGGCATGAGGGGTGGAAATGAGAGTGATTCAGTAGGTAGTCACATGATGATTGCAGTCCAAATGCTAGCCATAGTTAGAAGTTTAAATGCTATTTGCCAATGACCTGGGATTCTTTGAGGGATTGGGAAGGACATAAGGTTATAAGGCTGTGTGAAGGGTAGAGTGGTCAATAGAGACGCTATTGCATGTATTTCAGATGATGGGAGTAGGTAGACCAAGTGAGGTACAGAAGCAATAAAAATAACACCAGGAATAAGCCATCAAGCCTAATTCATCATTCACGTGTTCATGTTTGAACTTGGACTTCAACACCACTTGCATGCCTGCTCAACACCTCCATTGTTCCTCTGAGAGGCCAAATATCTGTATTATAATCTTAACTGTATTCAATAATGGAGACTCCACTTCTCAGGCAGAGAATTCCAAAGATTCACAAGTCTTTTAATGAAGACATTTCTCCTTGTCTCAGTACTAAGTGATCAGCAACTTATCCTGAGACTGTGCCCACATACTTAGGTTCCATCACCAGTGGAAATAATCTGTCCGTGTTTACCCTGTCAAGCCCATCAGAATCTTGGACGTTTCACTGAGATCATCTGTTATTCCTTCTTAACTCCAGAGAATATAGACTCCATTTGCTCAGCCTCTCATCATAATACAGCCCTCTCATGCTCGGGATTAATTCAGAGATGCTTTGCTGTACTGCCTCCAGTGCAAGTGTATCTGGAGACCAAAACTGCTCCCATTACTCCAGATATGGTCTTAGCAAAGCCTTCTACAATCGTAACAAGACTTCTCTATTCCTGTACTCCAATCTCTTTGCAATAAAGGCCAACATGCCATTTGCTTTCTTGTTTACTGCTGCATCTTCAAGCAACTTTCTGCAAACCTTGCACAAACGCATACAAATCTATTTCAATGTCAGCAATTACAAGTTTCACACTCCTAAAAAGAATTCTACTTTTTCTATTCTTATGACCAAAGTGAATAGTTACTAACTTAATCATATTATTATATTCCATCTTATTGCCTACTCACTTAACCTGTCTATATCTCCTTGCAGTTTCTTTGTATCCTCACCACACCTTGCCTTTCCATCTAGCTTCATATCTTCAGCAAATTTAGATATATTACTGTGTCACTTCATCTCAGCCATTAATTTAGATTCATCTATGTAGCTGAGGTCCTAGCACTGAACCTTGTGACACTTTACAATTCAGTTGCCTGACAACTTGAAATTGCCACAAATGTTGCTAGCTGCATCCTCAAATTTGTCAAACAGAATTTTCCTTCAGTAAAACTAGTGGATTTGATCTTAACTTCTGAATAAGCCATAGATGGATCTTAGCTGTGAACCTTTGGTTTTCAATTTTATGTACGTTTATTGTAAATTTAGATTAAACATTTCCCGTTGTTTGTTTATAACCATATAGTTTCATCTATTAACTCAGTTAACCATAGTTCTATTTCCACTCCTCTATGTATATGGCTATGTTTAAATTTAAAAATTGTTTGGTTTTGGAGAATATCGCTTTAAAATCTTAAGATGGAACTCAATAGTCTTATGATCATTGTGTCCTGGAGGATCCTTCACAACGATATTACTAAATAACCCTGCTCTCTTACACAATACCGGATCAAAGATAGGTTCATGCCTCAGTTCATGCCTCAGTTCCATGACACGTTTCTCTAAGAAAATGTTGCAAAAACTCTACACAAACACATCTTCAGAAGCACTCTTGCCATTTTGATTATCCCAGTCTATATTAAGATTCAAATTGCCCACAATTGTCTCATTGCTTTTGTTATAGACTTCAGTAATTTCTTGTTTAATGCTCTGCCCAATGTTATGCTTACTGTTTGGGGTCCTATAAATCACTCTTACCAGTGTTTTCATCTTGAAGGTTGTGATTCTTCATTTCCATTCATCCTAATTAGAATATATTTTGTTCTGAGGCTGGACCCTTTCTCATTAATGCCTTTATGTCAGCCTTTACATTCACAGGCAACCCTGTTGTGCCTGTCTCTTTTGAAGTGAGATGTAGCTTGGAATATTTGTTTTTCAACATTTAACTATGTCTCAATGGTTTTTGGACCCAAATCATTTACCTCTATTTTTGCCACTACTTCATCTACCTTATTGCTGATACCTTGTCTATTCAAATGAGGAACTTTCACTTTTTCACCCCTCTTTCCTATCATTACCTGATTCAATGATGTGGAATTTTTGTTGAACTTTGGCTTTATCTGCATTGCTATGCTGTTCTGAATGTTCAACCTTTCTCTTTGAATTTCTCAATATCCCTTCAGTCTGTCCTTCTCATTTCATTTCTTAGTTGAGAGTTGTCGACATCCCGAGTACTGTGATTGTTCAGGACATTGATCCTAGTACAGCTCAAGTAAAGTCCACCCTGATAGAATAGCTCTCTGTTCTCTGAGTACTGATATTAGTGCCCCATGAATTGAAACCCTTTTTGCATACCCAACTCTTTGAGACATGCATTCAGTTCTCTAAACTGCTGGACCCAATGGCAATGGGTACATGGTGCAGGTAACAAGCCAGAGATGATTGCCTTTTGATGTTTTGCATTTTAATTTGCACACCTTAGATTTGCTTACCAGAACATCATTCCTCCTCCTACCCATGACACTGGTTTACACATTGACTGTGACAACTGAATCTTCCTCCTCCCACTCCATGTTCCTCTCCAGCTTGAAGGAGATGCTATTAAGCCTCGTACTGAGAAGCAAAGTCAAGGGGATGGTCACGTCAAAGAATAGGAGAGTTTTATGTAGAGTGATTGACAGATTAGGAAGGATAGCAGGGTGCTGAAGCTGAATACAGTTGCATAGCTAATAAACTTGTAGCTTACTGAATAACTGGAACTTGGCGATCTTGATAATTTTGGTGAATAACCCTTCACTCTGCTGTGTAAATGATTACAATTTAATCACAAAATGTCAACAGGCTTTACCTCTATTATCTTTCACATGATAGCTGCTATTCAGCTTCATCCATAGTGACACATTTGAATTGACAGTAAAGTACTGTACTGAAGTTCTGTAAATGCAATTGGAGAAATGTATATAGATCCTTAAAAATCATCCTTTTCTTTAAAATTAACACTAGTATTTAGGTAATCAGATCAGAATGTTTTGATGGTTTTCCTCCAATCAGTTGTAAAGAATCACTTGTGGAATGACTACAGCGTGAAGTCAGCAGTGATTTGACAAACCTTAATAAAGCTGTCAAAACAAATGATTCCAAGTATTATTCCTCCCTGATTTGAAATGTTGTTTTCTTTTAACATTAACAGAAAAAGTTGCCATTGATGGCTCTCTCCCAAAGTATGCAGGAGGGAATTGCCTTAATAGGAGATGACTCTCTCATTACGTAAGTAACTTAACCATGATGGAGCTGCTTTGTTGGATATAATATACCAAAATGTTGTGCCTTTATATAAAGAGGAAAATATATAAATGTCGGAAATCTGAAATTAGCATTGATCTTGTTTTACAGAAGTAATCCGTATCTAAAGAGAAAGGATAGACTGATGTTTCAGGATTTCAATGATTCATACACGCATGCCTTGCCCCTCCCCAACAAAAGAATCAGAAGTTGTTCGTGTTTCTGAATGCTGTTTGACTTGATATGTATTCCAGTGTTTTAAAGTCTCTTGCTGGTGGTGTTTACATATTGGGGTGTTTGATACTGCTGAGTGGCCTGGTGTAGCCTGTGGCATTTAATTAGTATTTTGCTTTAGTTCTTTAAAGTTTTTTTCTAAAGACTCTTCTGTCTCTTGCACATTCTGTTTGTTGATTAGGTATATTGTTCACCGGTAACTGCAGGCATCATGTTCATGGTCAAATGCAACCACCCAACTATTCTAAACCCATTTTCTAGCACTGGCCTGTAGCCTTGTATGCCTTAGCATTAAAAGTGCATATCTAACTATACTTACTTAAATTTTATGAGGGTTTCTGCCTCTACAACCCCTAAAGCAGTGAGTTCCAGATTCCTACCAACTGTGGGTGAAAACGTTTTGCTTCACATCACCTCTAAGCCATCTGCCCCTCACCTTAAATCTATGTCTCCTGAAGATTGATCCCTCCATCAAGGGGAAAAACTTCCGGTAAGAAAGAAGAAATTAGACGCAGACTTCCAGTTAGAAAAAAAACCCATCAACCATCACCTGCTACTTAGCCAAATTGTAAATGCGATTTGCCAAATTTCCTTTGACCATGGGCTCTTACCTTTGCTATCAGTCTCTCATTTGGCCTTTATCGAAAGTGCTGAAGTCCAAGTAGAATACAACAAGAAAATTTGCTTTCGTCTATGTAACTGGTCACTCATCGAAAAATTCCAACAAGTTGGTCAAACATGATCTTCCCTTAAAACGGTGCTAACTGTTCTTGATTAATCCCTGCCTCTCCAAATGCAGATGAATTCTGTCCCTCAGAGTTGATTCTAAAATTTCCTCATCACTGAGCTTAGACTGACCGGCCTGTGGTTTCCTGGTTTATTACTTGCTCCCTTCTTAAATAACGGTACCGTATTGGCTGTCCACCAACCTTCAGGTACCTCTCTTGTTGCCTCACTCGACAACCTGGGATGCATTTCGTCCGACCGTGCAAATGTATTTACTTCTAAACCTGCCAGACCACTCAGAACCTCCTCTCTTGACTATGCTAATTTCTTTAATTGTATTACAGACCTTGTCCCTGATTTCTATACCCATATTGCCCCTCTCACTAGTGAGAACCAACACAAAATATTCATTTAGAATCCTACCTACATCTTTTGGTTCCAGGCGTAAATTGCCACCATTGGTCCGTAATATGCCGTACTTGTTCCCTTATAATCTTTTTACTGTTGATATACCTGTAAAACAACTGGGGTTTTCCTTTGTTTTATCTGCCAGTATCCTTTCATATCCCCATCCAAATCTCCATTTTAAGTTCCCCCTTGCACATTCAATTCTCCTTTGTTGTTTGGAGTCCTCTGGATCTGAGGTAAGCTTCCTTTTTCTCTTAATCCATTGCTGCCTTTCCCTTGATATCCAGGATTCACAGGATTTGATAGCTTTGTCTTTATTGTAATACATTGGCTCTATACGCTTCCTATTTTCCTCTTTGAATGCATTTCACTGTTCCAGTTCTGATTTGCCTGAAAGTGTCTCCTCCCAGTCCAGCCTGGCCATATTCTATCTCCTTTTATTAAAATTAGCCTTCCCCCATTTGAGAAGTTTGATCTCAGGCCATCTTTGTTATGAAAAACAACAATCTTGAATTTAGCAAAGTTATGATCGCGGTCTGCAAAATGCTGATACTTCAACTGCTTGTCCAACTTCGTGACCTAAAATTAAATCCAGGACTGCCCCCTCTCTTGTAGGGCCTTTTACATACTAGCTTAAAAATCTCTCTTGGGTGCATTTTAAGAATTCTACTTCCTTCAAACCTTTTACACAATGACTACCCCAGCTTATGTTGGGGAGGCTGAAATTCCCTACTGTCACTACACTATTCAAGGAGAAAGGGGAACAGGAAACAAGCACCATGGTTGATCTTCTCAATGATGTTGTTGTTTATGCTGCTGTTGCAACAAAACCCTGTTGTGACCAATCTGTAGAACTCCTATTTCTGCCATGGATGTGCTCACTTCCCTTCACCAAGCACTTGAGTTGACTGCAAACAGGACTGAACACGAAGATCTGATCAGGATTTGGACCGCAAGCAGTAGGTCAAACTTGTCTTGAAGGTGAATGCCAACGGAGCCATCCTCCCCCATTCTTCATCTATTTCTATTGGGTGATATTTACGCAGCTATTTGGGCTACACAAAAACCGCCTAGAATTCTTTGGACAAACAGCAAATTTGGTCACATAATGGCCAATTATAAGCCATCCGCAACCTTGAAACAATTAGAAAAGGATTACAAACAGAGGAGTGTTGCAACTGATGTGGTGGGGTAGGCTGTCTCTACAAGGCCTGTCTACAATGCTGCCTGTTACCCATAACCAACTGGAAACAGTGAGGAGCATGAAGGCAAAACAATGAATATGGCTGCTGCATGGGTGTTCAACAAATCTTGCCTCTCAAAAATCCCTGTGGGAAAATCATAAAGAAGGTCACTGATGGATGAGGAGCAGGAAAAGCTGTCAAACATCAAAGCAGACTAAGTTAGGAGTCAGGCAGGGACAGTTGGCAAGTATGGTGAGAGGGAAACCTCAAGTCTGGCAGCCCAAAAAAGGGAATAAACCATTTTCAAGAAAGAGTTAATTTCTGAAATAGATCGCAGTTGCAGCAACTCACCAAATAAGAAAGGACAAGCCAGTCGAAACTAGCAAAGAACTGGCCAAATGGAAAGGAGCTGGAGGAGACCACTGCTTTCCTGTGTGAATCTTTTCTGGATGGAACATTAAGTTTTCTGATTTATTTAGAATTTTCTTTTTGAATTCTGCTGTGTTAGCTTTATAAAATCATGTTGGATGAACTCAATAAAACATTAAAATCTGATATCAGTTTAATTTATATTAGGACGTTCTTAAGCAAGCACTAGTCCAGAAAGAATCTTATCATTATCCTGAGGAATATCAACATTATTACTTTGTACCCATGATAATGTTTGGTTTGGTTTCAGGAAATTGCTGGAAACATGCAGTGAAGCAGAACATAAACTGGCGTTTGAACTTGCCTCCTATGAATCTCAAATTGAGAGAGATATCCTTGATCCATTCAATAACCTGGCAGAAGTGAGTAAACCCCTGGCTGCTTTCCCCTTTCATACTTTCACACAAACATTTAATTAACACTTTAGTTTCTGTTTATTTATTTGTAAGTGGCTCAGTTTCAGCATACCCCTGCACTTCTGGATGACATGCCAACTTCAGGAATTTATCAATGTGTAGCCACTTTGAGACATCAGCCCAAATTTTCAGGTTGAGAATCACTTGCTTTACCTGCTGCTCATTCAGGAGGCCAGAGAAGAAAACTGTGTGGAATAGTAGCAAATACCTGTTTACTGGTTATTACTTTTTTGTTCATACTTAAAAGGTGGAGATTCCTAACATTCAAAAGCAGAGGAAGCAATTGGCTAAACTAGTACTAGACTGGGACTCGGCAAAAATGCGGTAAGAATTTTTATGTTGTAACAGAATTTAATGTGATACTTCCATATCTGTAACCAGAAGTTACACTTTTAGATTGGATAAATTTTAAAGCTTTCAAGTCATTCATTAGCATCCGTAATCTGTTTTTCATCTTTCACACCAGCCAGTATTCTCAACAGTAACAAAACAATAACCATCAATGACAATAACATCAACTTAATCACTGACAGTAATGAATGATTAATCAAACCAAAGTTAGGACCAATTTATTGATAAACCAAAATGAGCATTTGAGAGGATTTGCGCAAGATGAAACGTTGAGCTTAGTGAAGTTAGACTGGATGTAGTTGTGCTTAAGAATGCTCGGGCTCGTTTGAGTTTAAAGCTCTGAGGAACGGGAAGCAGGTTTGCATCTGGAGCCTAAGAAATTTGAGCACTGTTTTGACTCTGACCTGGTGTTTATTGCAGCTTGTTTGATTGGAACCTGTGTCGAGATTTGAGGAAATGCATCTGATTTGAAGATCAATTGCATGTGGTTTGTTTCAGGTATAATCAAGCAAACAAAGCTGCATTTTCAGGAGGCAATTTCCCAGCAATAGCAGCAAAAGTTGACTCACTGAGGGAGGAAATGGATGAAGCTGGAAATAAAGTGGAGCTGTGTAAGGTATGTTTATTTGGTGATTTGAATGGAGAAATCATAGTCTGTTTTTCAATAATGGATATTCGCTTTTTAAGGATTTTGGTATGATTTGCAGCACATATTTTTCAATTTGATCATTTGTGCTTCTCTGATTAGTAATTTGTTGTGGAAGTTACAATGTTGTAGAGGGTGCAGAAGTTCCTTGGTCTTAAATTACAAGTTAGAAGTCACAAGACACCAGGTTATAATCCAACAGGTTTATTTGAAATCACAAGCATTCGGAGTGCTGCTCCTTCAGGTGAAGTGGAGGGAAGCACACAGGCACGGAATTTATAGGTGCAAGATAATTCCAGGTAATTAAGAGTGCCAACAGGCTGAATAACAAGTCTTTGCAGGTGATCAAAAGTGTCAACAGCTGAATAGCAAGTGAAGGGATGATCTATGATCCATTTAATTAAGGCAGAGGGATAATTACAATGTAATCAAAAATAAGGTGGTGCTAGAGACAAACCGAATGCCTCGAATGACATGGTAGGTATACGAGTAGCATGACAAGGGTTTAACGAAAGTAACAAATAATCCAAAACTGTACACTTGTACAACAATCTACCTTAATTAGTTTGTACAGTTTTGGATTACTTGTTACTGCTGTAACATTATTCCTTAATTATTTGGTGAAGAGTCCTTTATGAAGTTGTGAGCTTGCATCTAGTCATTTTTTCATAATCCTTTCATCTCTGATTCTTTTAAGATTAAAGAATAAAACTTCGTTCAAGGTTTATCAATAAAGATGTTTCACTTTTCTGTCTTAAAGTATTTTTTATCCTTCTTTCTAATGTTATTCATGTTATAAGAATCTTTGCCATTCTTACCTGTTGGATTGTTTCAGTATATTTTCAATAATTAACATGTTACTTTCACACCAGATGCGATGTTGCCAAGTGTTCTTCTAGGTTTCATTTCTCGTGACTGAACTTTTGTTTATACTCTTTCTTGTCTGTGCTGAGCACTAATTTAGGTAATAGCATATGTGTGTCATCTCCACACTCCCTCCCAGATCTATCGTTTTCCTGCTATTTGTAATGATTTTCTTGGTAACCCCTATATTAATCTTCAACATAACTGTGTGTTTTACTTACTTAGTTATACTTATTTCTCAATCAAATCTATATTTCCAACCAAACGTCATTAGAACATGTCGAAGCAAGGTTAGGAATCATCATGCTAAGATGTGAAAGAGGAATGTGGTGCTTAACACTGGGTCTGAGAGAAACTGCAGATATTTGGTAGGGTGAGACCATAGTGTTCTAAAGATGAGGATGATTTTAACTTGAATGCTTTTGAAGAAAGCAGCCAGTCAGATTTTGTGAAGGTTGGTGTTGAGTAATTGGAATTCAGTATAGATGATCTTACTGCTCTGTGAAAAAGAATTTAAGCAAATTAAGTGTAATTGAATCAGTATCCTTTTAGATTATATCAAATTAAATATTGCACATCTAAGAAATCGTGTTTGTTCTGAAAAAAATTCCCAGGTTCCCACAAACATTAAGTAGAAAATTAGATGTGTTCTGGAGAACAAAGAATATGATGAATATGATTGAATGTTACATGAGTTATAAAACTTGTTGGCAGTGAGGTTTATTGCTTCTTGGATCACTGTTTTGGTGGAATTTAGCTTTTTTTTGAAAATGCCATGTTCTAATTTTAGACACATTTTGAATTTTTGAACTGACTTCTTCATAGCGCCTGTGTGAACTATCCATTTTTTTTTTGAACCTAAGTTGGAGCACCAGAAACACAGGCCACAATTTTTACTGACGTGGGGGAATTGTGGAGAGAAAAGTCCCAGAAAAAACTGGTTTTAACTCGTTGATCCTACAGCCCAGAAAGAGGCTATTCTTCATGACTGTGCCGATCAACAAAGATCTGAATACTTTGATCCCACTTTCCAGCTTATTGAGCAATGCAAGTGAATATCTGCTACCTAAATGTTACAAATGTTTCTGACTCAGCCACCATTTCAGGCAATGAGTTTCAGTTTCCCACAACCCTCTGAGTAAAAAGAATGTCTCCTTAATTCTCCTGCTAGCTTTTTATCTCTTACCTTCAATCTATGCACCCTGGTTATTGACCCTCTACAATTTAGTGAAGGTGCCTTCTTGTCTTCTCTACCTATGCGGCTTATAATCTTCTATACCATAATCAGGTCCTCTCTCAATCTTTGCTGCTCCAAATAAAATAATCCCAGCATATCCGATCTTTCCTTATAGCTCAGACCTTCCAGCCCAGGCAACATCCTGACAAAGCTGCCAAGCACCCACTCGAGTGCAATCACATCCTTACTATAATATGATGATCAGAACTGCGCACAGTACTCCTTTTGTGACTTACACAGCATTTTCTACAGTTCCAGAAAATCTCCTGCTTCTGTATTCAATGCCTCAGCTAATAAAGGCATAACCCAATATGCCTTCTGAATCACATTATCTTACCCACCCTGCTACCTTCAGCACACCATACTCCCTTTGATCTTCAATGGTTTCCTACGTGCTACCTCATAGCATAATCCCTTGTTTTATTCGCCCTCCCAAATGCATTGCGCCTCACTTATCTGGATTGAATTCTATTACCATTGCTCTGACCGAGCAATCTGTGGTATCCTCCTGCAGTTTACTGGTGTCCTTTTCTGTTTATTTATCACAGTACCAATTTTTGTATCATCTGCAAATGTCATGATCATACCCCTTACATTTAAGTTCAAGTCATTTAATGTCCACCACAAACATTAAGAGCCCCAGAAGCAAGGCCTGTGGAATCCCAGTGGAAACAGACTTTCAGTCACAGAAACATCGCTCCATGATTATTCTGTGCTTCCTGCCTCCCAGACAGTTTTGGATCCAATATGCCACGTTGCCTTCAATCCTATGCACGTTTTCTTTCTTGACCAGTGTATCACTAGTGACTTTATCAAAAGCCTTACTAAAGTCCATGTAAACCACGTCGAATGCATTTCCATCTTCAGCACTCCTGGTTATCTCCTCAAAAGATTTGATCAAATTTGTCACACATGACTTTCCCTTAACAAATCCATGCTGATTATCCTTGATTTAATTTTTGTCTCCTCTTATTTAGATATATTTTGTCCTTCAGAATTCTTTCTAATAACTTCCCCATCACTGAGGTTGAATGTCTTGGGATTTCTTGATCTATCCCTTTTTTTTAATAATGGCTGTTGTCTGTCCTCTAGTACCTCAACTTGAGTTCTGAAGAAGGATCGCTGGACTTGAAATGTTAAGTTTGCTTTCTTTTCACAGATGCTGCCAAACCTTCTGAATTATTAACTGTTGATTTGGTGAACCAGCTTTGTAATCTCTGGCAATCAGTACTGTGTGTTATCTCAATGTCCTGTATTCGGGATTCTAAAATGATGCACTTCCATTTGCAGGATCAACTTGCAGCTGATATGTACAACTTCAGTTCCAAAGAAAGTGATTATGCAAGATATTTTGTAACGGTGAGTGTTTTACATTGGCACTGACTCATTATATGTATTTGGATCTTTCTTTCACCAAGCCTCAAGCTTTTTGCTGAGATTTACGAGAATTGTATTTATAGTCTTAAGGTTACTTCTTCTGCAAATGGAATTTTTGTTGACAATGTGGGTTCTGTTCTCAGTTATTAGAAGCGCAAGCAGATTACCATAGAAAATCACTAAAAGTCCTAGAGGGCGTTCTCCCTACAATCCAAAACCAGCAAGGTATGGTATTAGCAGCATTTAGTTTCATGATGCTTGTATGACATCAATCATTTTACTTTCTTCCCTCTTCTACAGCCTTTACTCTGACACTTTCTTTGAAATTTTCCAACTAAATATTCAGCCAGTATTTTTTTCTCTGAACAATACATCAATTTAATAAGTTAAGTAATTACAACATTAAAAGGTGTTAATAAATTTGAAAATAATTGAACTTTCCATAAGTGGTTTGTGTAACATGTTGACTTATTCAAGTTATTTGCATTCTTAACAAACAATGTTTGATAATTTATTACAGAGAGGCCATATTAAATTGAAACTTAAATCATTCAATCAGTAGTTATTGCAGCAAAAGTTTTATTGTGGCTCTTAGTCTTAATTTGTTAATTGGTGAATTTATTTCTTTCCCACTAACTTTGTTTAGATACATGGACAGAGAAGCCTGCATTTGGAACAGCATTAGATGAACATCTCAAACGTAGTGGTCGTGAGATAGCACTCCCTATCGAGGCATGTGTAATGATGCTGTTGGAAACTGGTATGAAAGAGGAGGTGAGATCTGGTTGATTAAAACATACATGTACATGCGTAACTAATCAATTCTCATTTCCATCCTAAGCAATGCACCAGTTTCTACATCTCACCCTTTTTTTTGTTATCATGCAGATCTGCATATCCACTGCATTTTCTTGCCAATGAAAGAAAAGAGAGATTGCCAGAGATACATTGGCATGTTCCCTCTATATGCTTAATTTTTTTTTTCTCGTTCTAGTTCAATTTTACCCTGGGACCTGTTCAAGGAGCTGATTAAATTTACAATACAGATTTTTATACTTGAGGCTGAATAGAGTAGGAGGATAGAGGCGACAGTTTCAATGATCTGATGCCACTGACAAGCAGATTTTTTTTCTTAGAGTTATTGTTCATTCAGCTCTGTGGATGCTGGAAGTACATTCCGACTGCGGCTGTTAGAATGCGAATCTGTGCATAAAATATAACGTGTGTTAAGTTTCTGAAATGTAGCTTGGAATGTAAATGATTAAGGTATTGAACCACATAGATACAACATCCTGGATTCAGATCTCTGGGGGTTTGGATGACCTCAGTCAAGATAGCTTGTTGTAACGCTACGTCCAGCCTCAGGATACCAGTGATGATAGATGGATTGGCTGCAAATGCACATATTAAAGGAGAAAAAAACATCAGTCTTGAATAGTACACCTTATGGTTTCATGCCTTAGGAGTGGAGTATTGCCCTCATGTGAAAAATAATCACTTGTAAACACCAGGCTCTGTTGAGTCATTTTAACATACAAATATTTTATCAGTATCCTGCCCCTTAGTAAATGCCAATAAAAAGTAATGGATGATAGCCATGCTCTGTTCCTCCAAGCAAATTTCACTATCTTTATTGCTAATACGACCTACGATAACTCATACTGCTACTAATTATTCACATGCTAAGAGAAGTCTTACAGCTTCGTTCTATTCTCGGTCTCTCCTGGTTGGTCTCGGTTTCATATTTTCTATCCCCCTCATAATGTGTGACGGTTGTGTCCTATTGTAACTCAGGGGCTGTTCCGGATTGCTGCTGGAGCCTCTAAACTGAAAAAGCTAAAAGCTGCATTGGACTGCTCTGCTTCACAGCTGGATGAATTCTATTCTGATCAACATGCTGTGGCAGGTAATTTTTTTTTGTATGAAAGCCAAAGCATTTTGGATTTAATTCAAGCTGTTTATAATTTTACCAGAATTTAAGCACTTTTAAAACTGTGTTCGTGGGATGTGGGTATCATTGGCAAGACCCCCACTTAAATGCCCTTGAGAATGTGGTGGTGAGCTGTTAGCTGAAACCACTGGAGTACTTATGGCATAGATTCTCAGAATGTAGTTCCTTAAGGCATTTCAGGATTTTGACCCAGTGGCATTTTCGAGCAGCAATATGTTTCCAAGTCAGGATAGTATGTCACTTGGAAGCAGATTCCAAGGCACATGATATTTCGACATGGTAAAGGTCATGGGTTTGGAAGTGATTTTGAAAGAAACCTTGGTGAGTTATTGCATTGCATTTTGTAGATGGTGCACACTCTACCATTGGTGTACCATTTATGGAGGGAGTGGATCTTAAATGAGGTGGATATGGTTCCAGTCAATGTAACATTTTTCCCCTGGATGGAGTTGAGCTTCTTGAGTGTTGTTGGACCTACAACCCACCCAGGCAAGTGAGGCACGTTATTCTTTCACTGCTATTTTTGGCCCATGCCTTGTAGATAATGGAAAGGTCTTTGGGGAGGCAGGAGGTGAATACTTGGCAGAGAATATCCTGCTTCTGAATAATTCTTATTGCCACAGTATTTACATGGCTAATCCAGTCAAGTGTCTTGATTATTAGTGGCCCACTGTGATGTTAATGGTGGACACATTTGAAATTTGCTGCAATGGACACCAGTGGTTTTTGGAACGGAATTAAGTGCTTAAACTCAGTGTCTAAATAAATGGATTTTAATATTCTACACAATTACTCGCTTGGAGTTAGAGCAGAAATGAAATGGTGGAGAGGATTAATTTGTGGAAGAGCAAGCAAATTGGACTGTGTTTTTTCTAGACTATAACCACAGCCAATTGGGAAGGCAACTGTATCAGTAGATTGCAACATTGCAACACACATTCTCTCACGGATGCGACTGGTTGAACAGTGTACTTCCAGTCTTCACTAGATTACCGCCATGAAGAAAGTACACTTGGGAGAAATACTGAAAAGCAACTGGTGCCAGTAGAATCTTAACCTTGGATTAGTTAACAATCTTTGATAAGAGGTCAGCCTTGAAGTTCTGTAAGTGATTAAAATCCCAACTCTTGACCTGAACCACATTTCATTGTTTTTCTTTATTTATTATGGTATGTATTGTGTGTATTGAAAAGATTCTAGCTTGCACAATAAATCATTGCCAAATGTTGGTGTGCCTGAAGAGTACCTTCTTGTGTCAGCTTGTTTTTAATTTTTGCCTTTAGGTGCCTTGAAATCATATCTGAGAGAGCTACCAGAACCTTTAATGACATACCAGCTCTATGATGAATGGGTCCAGGCTGCAAGGTTTGGACTAAGTGCATTACGTTGCACCCTGTTATACTTGTGTTTCATACAGTGTTACGTTTAAGTAAATCAAATGTGGATAAGTTGAACTCGCAATTTCCCAATGCCTACTAATTAACTTTAGTTCAATTCTATCACAGCGTACCAGACATGGACAAGAAGTTACAAGCCCTCTGGCTAACTTGTAGCAAAATGCCAAAGTCAAACAATTCCAACTTCAGGTATGTGTTCTCAATCTTCAAATAGATCCTATGGAAATGATGTGCCACGAGTGAGACTTGAACACTGGCACTAATCAAAAGAAAACATTCTTCTAAATTTTTTTTTAAGTTCTGTTTTCCATAGCCAGACTATTTCCATTGTTTAGATAATTCTGACATCGATCTTTTTGTAAAATGCAGGTACGAAAGTATGGTAATGGACTAGCAAGCTAGAGGTCGTAAGTTTGCTACATTACAGTAGTAACAATGCTTCATTTAGCTAGCTTTGGGATATTCTTGAGATCACAACAGGCACTCCAGAAATGCATGTTCTTTTTGTGTTCTTTAAAATTCTGCCACAGAAAGATGTGGAATTTAACTCTAAAAATCTAGTCCATAGACATGGAAACTATCATTGTGCAAAATCCCAATTTATAGACAAATGTCTTGCAGGGAAGAGAACCTGCTACTCAGACTGGTCTGGCCTGTATGTGCCTTCAATCACACACTCCATTGTCAGTAATCAACTTAATTTCAACTTAATATTGTCAGAATCAAAACTAATAAGGGTTATAGACAGAGTTAATGGGAATTGTCTTCCCCTTAGGATGGGGAATTTTAAGACTAAGGGGCACATTTTTAAGGTGAGAGGAAAGAAATTTAAAGGCATGAGGTGCAAATGTTTTACGCACAGCGTGTTTCATGTGTGGAATGAACTTGCTGAGGAAGTGGTGGATGTGGGTGCAATTACAACATTTAAAAGACATTTGGATACATACATGAATAGGAAAGGCTTGGAGGGATTGGGGCCAGTTTAGTTTGGGATTACATTTGGCATGGACTGGTTAGACCAAAGGGTCTGTTTCCGTGCTGTATGACTCTGTGACGGAATGATGAAGGATTTATTTTCATAATTATTTTCACAGAAATGAATTGGGCAAGAGCAAGTTTCCCTCCCCATGCCATTCCTATTGAAATGAAAAGGCAAGAGTAAGTGGTTCTATGGAAAAGGCTGAGTTGAGTCCTAGGTTATATTGTTCATTAAAATAAATGATACAGAAGTATGGTAAAATTAGCAAGTCAGTCTTCCACAACAGTGGAGGAGAATGAATTTGGGAGAGTTTTGATTTTGAGGTTTGTTGAAGGTTCTTAATATAATATTTTTATGTAAGAGCTTGGGTTCTAAAGTGAAGGAATGATGTGTTTTTCTTATTCATTTGTGGGACATGGGCATCGCTGGCTGGCCAGCATTTATGTGATGAGTCCAGTTGCGTTTCTTGTCAATGATAACCTCCAGGATGTTGATGGTGGGGGATTCAGTGATGGTAACACCATTGAATGCCAAGGGGTGGTGGTTAGATTGTCTCTAATTCGTGATGGCCATAGCCTGGCATTTTTGTGGTGCGAATGTTACTTGCCACTTGTCAGCCCAAGCTTGGATATTGTCCAGATCTTGTTGCATTTGAACATGAACTGCTTCAGTATCTGAGGAGTTGTGAATGGTTTTTAAGACATGAGTTTAAGGAACATGTGTTAAGGGGTAAGTAAGCTACCTTAGTGGCTCGTTCGAGGGTCTTGGGAAGAGACATGAACGAAAGAAAATAACATGGAGTGAAATTTGCCAAAAAGAAGTGAATTGCAGTCATGCCAGCTGTACAATGTGTTTCAAAGTGGTAATGGGTCACCCATCCCTGAGATTTGAGTATCTGTAACGTGATTGTTGAAGGTAAAGCTGTTGAATCTATGTTTCTGATATATATATATATTAAGATCAATGACTGACCACCATGGTAAATCATCATCATAGATCATCATAGAATCCCTAGAGTGTGGAAACAGGCCCTTCGTCCCAACAAGTCCACACCGACCCTCGCAGCATCCCACCCAGACCCATCTCCCATAACCCACCTAATCTACACATCCCTGAACACTATGGACAATTTAGCACGGCTAATCCACCTAGCCTGCATATTTTTGGAAGACCGAAATCAGTAAAGCTTCTTATTGCCTAATAAGCCAGGGATCACTCTCTAGGATCTAACTTATCCGTAACTGCATCACCTTGGATTGTAACAGAAGTATATTTTCTTTTCTGATGTTTTAATATCTGTGAAGTAATGCATTTCATTTTGGTTACCTTGTAAGTATTGCACCTCCTTTGATTAAAGATCCCTTGTAGTGTATTCTGTGTCATCTTTGTGCCTGTTCAGCAACAATTGCTGGTTGGGCACAGTGTTCTGTTTTAGGGTGGTGACTGCTTCCCATTGGGTAAAATGCTGTTTATGGCAGCCTCACGTTAAGCATTTTTCTATGTTGAGGAGGCATTTCACTCCTGACTCATGTCTCATAAGTCCATTTCTCTGGAATGGTATGGATGATTGACTTAGCAGTATTACTACAGTTCTTAATGGCATTAATTTTGATGGACAAGTATATCATTTGGAGCTCACCCTTGCCGTGGTAACTACTTCCCTTTCACTTTTTTTGTTTGTATGGGAATAACATTGTGTAGCCAATCTGCTCCCCAATTAATTTCAATGGAAATAATTGAGCATAACCCCTTTGTCATTCCATTCGGTATGTTTTTGACAGCATTTAATTGAATTTAAGTTGACTCCCTTGTTCTACCTTGGTTGGTGCTTTGCTTGAGAATGACTACAAGACCCATAAGACATAAGAGCAGAAATTAGGCCATTCAGCCCATCGGGTCTGCTCCCCCATTCAGTTGTGGCTGATAAGTTTCTCAACCCCATTCTCCTGCTTTCTCTCCATAACCTTTGATTCCCTTGACAATCAAGAACCTATCAGTCTCTGTCTTAAATATACTTAATGACCTGGCATCCACAGCCTTCTTTGGCAGTGAATTCCATAGATTCACTGCTCTCTGGCTGAAGAATTTTCTCCTCATCTCCATATTAAAGGGTCTTCCCTTTACTCTAAGGCTCTGCCCTCATGTCCTAGTCTGTCCTGCCAAGGAAACACCTTCCAAAGGTCTACTGGATCCAGACCATTCAGTATTCTGTAAGTTTCAATTAGATGCCTCTTCATCCTTCTAAACTCCATCGAGTATAGACCCAGAGGCCTCAAACGTTCCTCATATGTTAAGCTTTTCATTCCTGGGACCATTCTCATGAACCTCCTCTGGACCCATTGCAGGGCCAGTACATCTATCCTGAGGTATGGGGCTCAAAATTGCTCTCCATACTCTAAATGTGGAATGAACAGACCCTTATAAAACCTCAGTAGTGCATCCCTGCTTTTATATTCTAGTCCTCTTGAAATAAATGCCAACATTGAATTTGCCTTCCTAACCCCTGACTCAACCTGCAAGTTTACCTTAAGAGAATCCTGGACTAGGACTCCCAAGTCCCTTTGCACTTCAGATTTCTGAATTTTATCCCCATTTAGAAAATAGTCCATGTCTCTACTCTTTCTACCAAAGTGTATGATTTCACACTTTCCTACATTGTATTCCATCTGCTACTTCTTTGCCTACTCTCCTAACCTGTCTAAATCCTCAGTATTACCTGTCCCTCCACCTAACTTTGAATCATTGGGAAATGTAGCCAGAATTCCCTCAGTTCCTTCATCTAGATCATTAATGTATAAAGTGAAAAGTTGTGGTCCCAACACTGACCCCTGTGGAGCACCACTAGTTACTGGCTACCATCCTGAGAAGGACCCTTATATCCCCACTCTCTGCTTTGGGCTAGACAGCCAATCTTCTATCCATGCTAGTACCTTGTGTCTAACACCATGGGCCCTTATCTTATTCAGCAGCCTCCTGTGTGGCACCTTGTCAGAGGCCTTTTGGAAGTCCAGGTAGGTAATATCCATTGGCTGTCCTTGGTCTAACCTGCTCGTTACCACCTCAAAGAATTCTGACAGATTTGTCAGGCATGACTTTCCCTTGAAGAAACCACGCTGACTTTACTCTGTTTTACCGTACACTCCAAAGTGTTCAGAAATGGTCAGTATATGCAAATACTTGAATTCAGTTGCTGTACAACTTTTTTTTTAGGTGAGCACGCTTTTACAAGGCAGTGAGAAGTATGTGAAGAGTTGTGAAGTTAAGCGTATCTTTAAAATGGGCATGATAAAAATGACTATAAGGAAATTAAGTTGAAATGTAGGAAGTTAGGAAAAAGATGGTGGGACAGCTTTGTTACTAAAAGGTGTAATGAGTACAGTAGTGACAGATGACCTTTTATTCATTAACGGGATGACGGCATCTCTGGCTTGGCAGCGTTTATTGCCCATCCTTAATTGCCCAGAGGGCAGTTCAGAGTCAACCGCATTGCTGTGTGTCTGGAGTCACATGTAGGCCAGACCAGGTAAGGATGGCAGTTTCCTTCCCTAAAGGATATCAGTGAACCAGATGGGTTTTTCTGACAATCATCAATGGATTCATGGTCATAATTAGATTGTTAATTCCATATATTTTACTGAATTCAAATTCCACCATCTGCCATGGTGGGATTCAAACCAGGGTCCCCAAAATGTTATCTGGGTCTCTGGATTAACAGTCCAGCAATATTACCTATAGGCCATCGCCTCCCTTCCACCCTGCCTCAAGAGAAAAATAGCCAACCAGTTTGAGTAGAGACAAGAAATTGGAAAGGAAAAAGGTTACTTGTGGAAGTAATTTACAGGTCCTGCCCTTCTTTTTCTAGTAGTTACATTGTAGGACAAAGGTATGTAAGAAAGGTACCTCCAAAATCATAGGTGACTTTTGATGTTGATTGGCTGACTCCAATTGTCAAAGGTAGCCTGGGAAATGAGTTCATTTAGTATATTTAGGGCACTTCTCCAGAGCACTATGTTGTAGAGCCATCGAGAGCTGACGATTCTAGACTTGTTAGTGAACAATGAAACAAGAGTTAATTAGTAACCCTTATGTAAAGGAAGCTCTAGGTGACAGTGATGATATAGCATGATAGAATTTTTGTTCACTTTAAGGGGAAGAAGTGTGGGTCTGGGAGAATTGTTTTAAACCTTAATTCAGATTATTAGGAGTCTATGAGCACAGGTGAATTGGGAAGCTAGTTACAAGGTAGCACAGTAGAAATGTGGCGGTAGAGTCTGTAACTCTCAGTAAAAATCTATCCCAGTGAGAAGAAAACTCTGAGAAGGATGCATCATCGGTGGCTAAGTAACAAAATTAAAGATAGTATCAAATGAAGGAACACGACAAATATGCAGTGTAGTAATAGGCCAGAAGATTGGTCAGATTTTAAGACCAAATAGAAACATCTTAAAACAAAGCGGCAATAGAAAATAACAGAAAACTAGGTTGTACATAAAACTAGTCAACATACGATGAAGGAAAAAAATATAATTAAGCAATTAATTAAAACCCATTAAAGCTAGCATGTGTCATGGATGTAGCATGTGGCTTCCAGTGGATGCCAGTGTGATCTGGGACAAACACCTCTCCAGTAAGCATTTGCAGCTCAAGAAGCTTTGGCTCAGAAAGCTGGAGGCCAAGCTGCCCTATTCTGCATCGTGCAAGGGATGGGGCAGTATTACCTCAATGGTGTATCAGGAGGCAGTTCCTTCGCTTGGGATATGGTCTGCTGATTTTGATCAGATGTCAGTAACAGGGCAGTGTGGCTACTGTGGAGGCAGGTAGGAGAACCCAGAGGATATGAATGCTGAGCCTCAGACTCTGCAGTTGTCCAACAGATTTGAAGTTCTTTTGGCATGCTTAGGTGAGATTGGGATTGGTTTTCCTCTTTTTTTGGTATTCATGTGAAATATCATACTGTGTAAGAAGGAAAGCCTTGATAAACTGCCCATTTACTTCTCAGCAATACTCAGGTTTAGTACTACAGATTTCATTCAGTTGTGTATGCTGTCTAGACGCTTGGACCTTAATTATTACATGGAGACTTCTTGTGTCTTCCTTTCATGTACATAAGACGCAAAGTGCTTATTTAGCTTTGCTGCCACTTCCCCTTCCCATTAGAAATTCTCTTGTCTTTGCCTGTATTGCACCCACATTTGTCATTGCTTATCTCTTCCTTTATACATATCAGTAGAAGCTTTATCTGCTTTTGTTATTACAGTTGGACATTCATATTCTATTCTCTGATTCTTTATCAATTTCTTTGTCCTTCATTGCTGACCTCTAAAAATTTTCCCAGTTAGGTTTTACAATTTTTGTCAATTCTGCAAGCTGCCTCCTTTGATCTGATGCTATCTTTGACTTCTCAGTTAACCATGGAACATTCCCTTTTCCTGTTGGATATTTTTGCCGTTAAAGGAATGTAAATTGCTTTTGAAAACCAAGCATTAATTCTTTAAATACTAGTTATTACTTATTCACCGTCAAACCTGTTAATGTATTTTTTGCCGATCTGCCACCATAACTTTATAATTGATCTTGTTTAGATTTAAGACCCTGGTTTCAGATTAAACCATATCATCTTCAAAATTAATGGAAAATTCTATCATACTGTAGTCAGTGTTCCTAAAGGTTCTTTTACTTTTATGACAAGATTATTAATTAGCCCTTTATCATTGCATTGTACTAAACCTAAAAAAGCCTGTGCCCTAGTTGGTTCCTCAACATATTGCTCCTCAAATGTATCTCAAACCTATCATTGCAAATACTGAATGCATTTAGATACAGTGCTTTTGATTCTGACTCTTTAACTTGACCCTGATTGATTCTGGTGTTTATTTGTGCTGTTTTCAATTTTTACTTGCAATTTCTCTGCTTCCTGCAGCTAGCTTTATTTTAATTCTTTTAGAATTTCCTCTTAGTTTCCCACTCTTCTGACAAGCAGTTTTAAACCCTCCCTAACAGAAGTAGCAGATCACCCTGTGAGGATATTATTCCCATCCGACTAAAGTGTAACATTATTTCATTATGCAGGTCCCACCTGCCCCAGAATCATAGAATCCCTACAGTGTGGAAACGGGCCATTCGGCCCAACAAGTCCACACCGACCCTCTGAAGAGTATCCCACCCAGAACCATTCTCCTAAGCTTTCCCTGTAACCCTGCATTTTCCATGGCTAATGGACCTAACCTACACATCCCTGAACATTATGGGCAATTTAGCATGGCCAATTCACCTAACCTGCACATCTTTGGACTGTGGGAGGAAACTGGAGCACCTGGAGGAAACCCACGCAGACATGGGGAGAATGTGCAAACTCCACGTAGACAGTTGCCCAAGGGTGGAATCAAACCCAGGTCCCTGGTGCTGTGAGACAGCAGTGCTAACCACTGAGCCACCATGCTGCCCCAATGCCCCAGAAATCTAAAGTCTTCCCATGCAGCATTGTTTCATGTGTTCATTCACGCAGTCTTACTATTGCTATTCTCACCAATACATCGTACTCTTGAATAATCCTGAAATTACTGCCTTAGAGGTCCTGTTTTTCAGTCTTTTGCCTTGTGTCCTAAGTACAACTTTCATGACCTTTATCCCTCTCCCACTTACACCATCGATGCAAGTGTCAGTCATGACCTCTGGCTTTTTACCCTCTCCCCACTAAAACAATGTCCAGCAGCCACACTGAGACATCCTTGACCTTTTACTTGGGAGGTAATATACTATCCTGGCACTATGTCTACAACCACAGAAACACCTGTCTGTTACATTAACTATCAAATTGCCTACCACAATTTGCCTTCTATTCTTCTTCACATACATGTCTTTTTTAGTCTGGTGAACAGGAAAGTGGTTTTGGGACTTCAACCAGATCAGTCATGATCATAATGAATGATGGAGTCCAAATCCTATGTTCTTTTATAAGTGACAAATCAGTCTTTATCAAATTGAGCATTCATTAAATGACAATGTTTTCAGAGGTGAGGCTGAATTGTTGTCTTCTGTTAACAGGTATCTTATAAAATTTCTCGCAAAGCTTGCGCAACATAGTGACGTCAACAAAATGACTCCTAGCAACATTGCAATTGTGTTGGGGCCCAATCTACTGTGGGCTAAGAATGAAGGGTAAGAGCTTGCTGTCATGCACTGGCTGCCCATATTTTTTGTAATAATGTTTTTATGTGGCTTAATGAAAAATGCAGAGTTGGTATCTTGATGGAACCAAGCTTAATGTATATTGATTGATCTCGATATGTTATTAATTATTTAGTGTTACCCTGGATTGTATGTAGTTTTTATTTTAAAATTTGGTTTCAATCACATTCCCTTTCTTCCATTCCAGACTTGAACTCCTTTAGTTATGTTGTCCCACCACACCATGAATGTATGATCAATGTTTACAATCTCAAAGTACAACATACCATAAATGAATAATAGGCTGTGAATAATCATAAGGGATTATATGTTTAAATTTAGTTTTGCAGCAGTTACTTTGTGCTTTCCAATAAAATGTGATTTTTTTTTTTGTTTTTTCCTTCTTCCATATACCAAAATTCTCTCCTCAACAGGCTGACTTCTTGCTGACATACTGTTTCCCAGACATTGATTTCTGATACCTTACCCAAGTCGTGTGAGCTTGGAGAGTATTTGATTGTAGAAGCTACAAAAGTATCGATCCTATCTAATAATAAAGGTCACTGAAAAATAGTTGGGGTTGAGACAGTGCTAAATGTCCCACAACCAAACAGTTGGATTAGAACTCTACAGTTGAGCCATATTGGATGGTGATGGACAGTTAAATACTGACGGGAGAAGATGCATGTGTGAATATCCACATCCACACATCCAACCCATCAGTGCAGAGGACACGTAGCTGAAATATTTCAAACTATCTTCAGCTGGCAGTGCTGTGTTGACACCATGACTGCTATAAACTCTGCTATCTCCTGAGGCCTTCAACATGACAGATGCTTGTCTTCCTGTTTTTTTTTTACTCAATGAGAAATTTAAGTAGTAGCTGAGGGCACTGATTGCAACAAAGGCTCAGGACTCGGACAACATCCCAGTTGTAGTCTCGAAGATTTGTGTTCCAGAACTAATCATGCTGTTAGCCAAGCTGTTCTGGAATAGCTACAACATTTGGCATTTACACAAGAATGTGAAACATTGCCATGGATAATATGTTTTCAGAAAGCAGGACTAATCCCATCTAGCAAATGCCGCTCCTTCAGTCTACTCTGAATTATCAGGCAAATGGTAAGGGTGTCATCGACAATGCTGTCAAATGGAACATACTCGTCGGTGACCATTGATACTCAGTTGGGCTATGTTGGGATGAAATCAGCTCCAGATCTTGTTGCAACCTGGAAAAATGAACTGAATTCCAGCAGAGGGAAGAGGGTTGTTGCAATACAGCAATACTTGGAATGTAGCAGCAAGGTGCCTTAGTAAAATTGAAATTGGTGGAAATCAGGGAATCTCCACTAGCTGCATTCATCAATCGTACCCTGATATGGTTTTTAGAGACCAATCAGCTTAGCCCTAGGAAATGGTTGCAGGGCAACCAAGTCAAGACAATATCCTAGGGCCATTCACCTTAACCTCTCCTACCCTCAAACATAAAGTTACAAGTTGGGATGTATGTTTTGATGTTTGTACAGTGTTCAGTTGCATTCATAACTGCTCAGCTTCTGAAGCAGGCTGCAACAAGACTTGTGCAGCATTCAGGTTTAGGTTCACGAGTAGTAAGAAACATTTGCACCATGTATGTGCCAAGCAATGACCAATCCGATAGGAGAAAGTCTAACCACCTCTTCCTTGACATTTAATTGCATTGCCATCATTGAATCACTTGTTAGCAATGTTCCCGAGGTTACCATTGACCAGAAACCGAATGCATGACTGTCCAAGCTGAGAATTCCATAGCAAGTAACTCAACTCCTGACTCTCATAAACATGTCTATAAGGCACAATTCAAGAGTATGATGAAATTATCTCTTACCTGGATTAGTGCCGTTCCAGTGACACTTGAAGCTCTAAAGCATCCAGAGCAAATTAACCCCCATCAACCTTCTTAAACCTTTTATTTTCTCCATAACTGATGCACTGTGACAGCAGTCTGTATCATTTGCAAGATGGACTGCGGCGACCCACCATGTCTCCTTCAAAAGTATTTGCTAAAGCTGCAACCTCCACCTCTTAGAAGAATAAGATCAGATATGGCTCATGGGAACATTGCGAACTGGAAGTTCCTGTCCAAGTCACACATCATCCTGGCTTGAAATTATTTCATTGTTTCAGTGTTCCTTCTTTGTCACTTGGTCAAAATTCTGCACTACGTGAAGCAGTTCGCAAAGACAGTCACAACAAGCTTCTCAAAGGCAAATAGGGATTTATTTCCTTTTTTTCCACTTGTGTGTGTACTGGCAGTCTTGACCAGCCCCTTTTACCTGTACCAACTTGTAATCTATTTAGATTTTATATTGAGGGAGTGTTTTCTGACACCTCTTCCGTTGTTTTCCAAATTTAAACAAGTAACTGAGAGAATGCACACAGTGACAAGTCTAATTTGTGTAGTTGGTGGAATGGGAACTCAATGGATGCCTATATACACATGACTGCAGACCAGACACATGCGCACTCCCTAGCCACGCATGTAGGAACAGCTACATGACTTCTGATTATTTGCTTTATTGAAGCCGTTTTAGTTGTGTTGGTGCTTCTGTGTTGGCTGTGTAGAATTGCTGCTCCAATTAAGCTAATAGTCCAGCTTATCAAGCCATGTTGATTATTTTAATGGAAAACTGGAGGAGCAAATTCTGAATATATTTTAAAAATAAATTGATTGTAGTACAAATTTAGATAAGATTCCCAAATCCCACTTTGTTTATATTTATTTCTGTGCCCTCTGAGGAATGTAATATGTCTTAAAAAGCTGCAGTTCAGATATCATGTAATTGACAATTTTGCAATGTCCACCATAAGCAAATTATACAAACTTGAACATTTATAAATTGCATCTGTTTTTGTCCTTCTAAGAGCACTTGCAGACATGGCAGCAGCTACCTCAGTTCATGTAGTTACAATCATTGAGCCAATAATCCAACATGCGGACTGGTTCTTCCCAGATGGTAAGTACTTACTGTTGTGTTTCCGTACTGATTTGTTTGGCAATATAGTTATCAGCAAAACCATTCCACCATTTCTTTGCACTGATTCATTAGTTTATCCAAACACAGCACTTGGGGGCAGAAGGAGGCGATTTGGCCCTTCAAACTGGCTCCATCATTCATTGCGATCATGGCTTATCTGGTTGAAGTCCCAGCTGCAGTTTTATGTTTGCCCCTTTTAATCCTCAACTTGTTTGTGTCTCAAAAATCTGCCTAACTTTGGCTTGAATCAATTTAATGACACAGCCTTCACTTCCTTGTCGGAAGAGAATTTCATATACAAGTGACCAAAAATTTCTCACCTCCATCTTAAAAGGGAGATATCGTCTTGAAAACTGGCCCTTAGTTCTAGCCTCCTCAAGAGGATACATTTTCCCAGTGTCCATCTGTCAAGTACACCCAGGACCTTGTATGTTTCAAGATCATTTCTTATTCTTCGAAATTCCAATAAGCGTAGACCCAGTCTGCTCAACCTTTCTTCATGCGTTAGACTCATTCTTGGGATAGAGGGCCTAATGAACCCACTCTGACCTGCTTCTAGTGCAATTATATATGCACAGTACTGTAATGATGTCAGGTGTCTGATTTCTATATATTTCAACATCATTTATCTTAGGGTTTGGATTGTGAAGCAGTGGCAATGAGTTTGGTCTGTGTGTCTGATGGCATTCAATGATTAACTATTAGGTACACCTGTTGTCAGCTGATTTCTTATGAAACACAGATTGAGGGTGAGGTTTCCTCGAGAGTAAGGGTTTTTGTTTCATTGGATGAGGTTTATGACTGAACAAAGTAAACAGTTGTGTATTAGACTTCAAATATAATATTCCAGAATTGAGATTTTCTCTTTGTTTAGAAGAGGCATGTATTAAGAAATCCCTTTAGTTTCAGTTTGGCAGTTTTGCAGAAGTTTTGGCTAAAACTGTGTTAAAACAGTTGTTCCTATAGAAGGAAAATAGTTTAGAACTGTGAAGAAATAGGTTAAAACTCACAAGGGATTATTTGAAGCTGAGAAAATCTAAACTCAATCGTATGAAGACACCAAGAAGAGATTATTAGATTATCAAGATGGGAAGAATTGAAGCCACAGTTGAATTACGCCCTATAAATATGACAAGAGAATCCTTTCTGGTATGAATATTGTAAAGGGGTACAGTTGGGATTAACAGGAATGTATTTTATCATGTGTTTTGACATTTTAAATTTGTTATGTGTAAATAGTTTGTTGTATTTTAGTTTTTCTTCAGTTCGTTCACTTAATTAACTTCTGTTTATTGTGTTTAGGTGAGTGACCACCTTGTTAAAACCAAAGAGAACAATGTATCAACCCAAATTTCAGTTTAGGCTCTGACTTGTCCAATATTAACATCAACTGGGATCATAACAGTCCTGATGCGGTTTCATTATACAGATCCTATATAGATGTAGAAAACTTCTTCATTTTTAATAGTATGTTTCCTTTGTAATAAATGCCAACATTCCACTTGCCTGACTAAACACTGCATAAAAAAATTTACATTCTGAGAATATCCGCTTCCCTCTATCACTGAGTTCTGTAATCTCAATTTAACTAGTATTCTGCTTTCCTATTAGCCCTTCCAAAGTGGTCAAATTCATATTTTTCCAGGTTATACTCCAACTGCCAAATGTTTACCCGCTCCTTTAACCTGCCTTACCTCTTTGCAAATGTTTGCCTCCTTTTGATAAATTACTTTCCCATTTATCTTGGTGTCATCAGCAAATTTAGCTACCATACGTTGTCACTTCATTCAAGTCATTGATAAAAATTGGAATTAGTTGAGGCTATAACACTGATCCCTTTGACTTTCCATGAGTTACAGCTATCAGATTGAAAAGGACCCATCTATCCCTACTTTCTGCTTCCTGTGAGCTAACCACTCTTTTATCCTTATTAATACATTGCTCCCCTAAACAATATGTTCTTTCTTTTATTCTAAAGATGCTTTAAATTTAATTTTGTTTTGGAGATTTATTTTTTGAAGGATTATGGAAAATATTTTATGATCTGTGGAAACAGTTGGAGTGGTTTCTTTAAGAAATTAGGTAATTGAAAGTTCACTGTGGACATTGGTAATGTGTTCTTAAGCATGGCTTCCTGTAAATCACATGACTAATGATATATACTTGCTTTGCTATAGAACCCTGCTGGGTGACTAGCTTGGAGAAGGTTCTTGTTTTCAGCTGGTTGAGTTGGAGGAATGAGCTGATTTCTCCCATTTATGAAAAGGAAGCCCTCTTGTTTCACATTGAAACATATTTATTCTTTTGAGTGAGTGATTTAAAAAAAAAAAATCTCAAGGCAATATTTCCAGAGTTTGTGAATTGGTACATAATATTTTGAACTGATTTAAAGACTGTTCTGCTGTGTTTCAAGCCCCTTTGCAGGAGAGTTCTATTGAAATAAAAACATCCATATAAGCTTATATTTTAATAGGTTTCATACTTGGCGTATTGGCTCTCCTCTCTACATGGTTTCTGCCTAGTCCACGGAGTTCTTTTTCCAGCATTTTCTGATTTTTATTTCAGATTTTCAGCATCTGCAGTATTCTGATTTTTGATAAGAATTATATTGATCTTTTTATTGTTGTTTTTAAATAGACTTGGATTTCAATGTGTCAGGCATGTTTACACCAATGACTCCTGCCAATCACTTTAATAATCTGCCGTTGTTTGGAAATGACTGTGATAGTAGCACACTGGAGAGGAAGAGGCCTGTAAGTGTGGCTGCAGTTGAAGATATGGCTAAAAAAGACAGGTATGTTCACAAGAGATCAGCCTCATGATTGAGTAGTTTATAGCCATTTTAACAATAACAATACTGAGAGGGTCTTAATCAAGAAATAAGTGAAGGCTGAAGCAAAGGCAATGTAATAATCATGGGATATTTATTCATCATATAATGTTGCTAAATCAAATCAAGTAGAGTATATTGGAGGATAAGTTCATGGGATGTTTTCAAGAGTTTCCTAGAATAATGTATCATGAAACCAACCAGATCTTATCTTGTGTAATGAGGCAGGTTTAATTAGCAATCACATTATAGAGGATCATCTGGGGAAGAGTAATAATATTATGATAGAATTTCACATTGAGTTTGAGTGAAGTCTGAAAACAGAATGTTAAGCTTAAATAAATCCAGTTAGAGGTTACAAGGGGCAAACTGCCCAGCATATTGAATTGTAAATTGTAGATAGACATCAGTGAACATGTAAAGATGTATGTCATAATTTTCAGTATACTTTCCATTGTGAAATTAAAAACTATGAAAAGTGTGATTCACCCCTGGCTAATTAAAGAGGTTATCAATTGTATTCGGTCAAAAGAAGAGGCTTATAATATATCACCAAGAATTGCAATAAGCCTGAGATTTGGGTGAGTTTTGGAACACTCGAAAGGATGATGAAAAATTAATAGAAAAAGAGAATGGAATCAGTGTAAATTAGCAAGAAATCTGAAAGCAAATCATAAAAACCTCTCGATATGCAAAAAAAAATGTGGTGGAAATAAATGTTGGTCCCTTAGAGGCAAACAGGAGAAATTATCATGTGATGAGGAAATAGAAGATATTTGTTCAACATTTCTGCCATCTGTCTTTACCAAAGGGGAATGAACCAAGGGTCTATTGAAACTGGGGAGCTTAGAATTATAATTAATGAAAAAAAACTGTAGAAATTAATGGGACTGAAAGCTGACCAATCTGCTGCTCCTGGTGGTTTACATCCTGGAATTCCAACCAAGGTGGTTATAATTTTTTATCATTCCTTTTTCTGGAATAGTTCCAATGGATTGGAAGGTAAGAAACATAACCCCTCTACTTAGAGAGAGCAAACAATGAACTTTAGGTCGATGAGTTTATCAGAAAATTGCTGGGATCCATTGTTAAGGAAGTGCTAGCAGGGCATTTAAGAATTCATAAAATGATTCAGACTAATCACCAGGATAATTGGTTTTCACAAATTATTAACTTTTTGAGGGTGTAACTACCAGGGTGGACATAAGGAAAGCAGTGGTTGTGGTATATTTGGGGCAGCACGGTGACTCAGTGGTTAGCATAGGGACCTGGGCTCTATTCCACCCTTGGGCAACTGTCTGTGTGGCGTTTGCACATTCTCCCAGTGTCTGCGTGGGTTTCCTCTGGATGTTCCGGTTTCCTCCCACAGTCCAAAGATGTGCAGGTTAGGTAGATTGGCTATGCTAAATTGGCCCATAGTGGCCAGGGATGTGTAGGTTAGATGTGTTAGCCAGGGTAAATACTGGGTGGGGCATGTGTCTGTGTGTGATGCCCTTTGGAGGGTCATTATGGACTTTTTCGGCCGAAAGGCCTGTTTCCACACTGTAGGGATTCTATGTTTCTAAAAGGCTTTCATGAAGGAACTATGCAATTTTTCTTTGCAATAATTAAGTGTTTGTGATTCAGCTATTTAATATCCATATTAATGACCTGGTTGATGAAGCTAAGTATAACGTATCTAATTTTGCTAATGATATAAAAATTAAGTTGGAAGGATTTGAGGACATAAAACTAATTTTGGTAGTTTTGATAGTTTAGTGAGTCGACCAGAAGGTAGTATTTAGAGTTTAAGGGAAAGGTGAGGCCATTCACATCATGTAACCAAGACACAAGAAGACAAGAAACAATAGCCGGAATAAACTATACGGCCCATCAAGTCTGCTCTGCAGTTCAATGTGATAATGGCTGATTTCAACTCCGTTTTCTGATACACTCCTTATGTTCTTTGACATAATGCAGGAAGTTATGGTAAGCAGTTAGGAAGACAAATAGTGCATTAATCTTCATTGCAAGGGAGTTGAAGTACAAGAGTAAGGAAGTTTACAAGACTTTGAGACCACACCTGGAGTACTGTGTATAATCTTGGGCCTTAGTGTATTCGGAATAATATAAGCAACCCTTCAAGAGAATGCAACAAAAGTTTACTAAATTCTTTTCAAAGATGAGATTGTTTTAGAAGGAGAAATTAGGTATAATGGTGCTATACAGCCTAGAGATAAGATGATGATGGGTGATCTTACTGAAAGGTTTCTTGGCAGAGTAGGTGGTAAGAGGCTATTTCCCCAGCTGGAGATCTTAGAACTTGCAGGTATAGTCTCAGGATAAGTAGTTGACTTTTTAGGATAAGGCATTTTATTTTAATTCTGAAGATTGCGAATTGTTAGAATTCCAAACCTCAGAGGCTGTGGCTATTCAGTGATTAAGTGTTTTGAACTAAGATTACTAGATATTTTTTATACCTAAAAGAACCCACAAATATAGGGCTGTGGGAATTGAATGCAAAAGTCGATTTTAAGTGGAAGATTAATCATGATCTTATCGAATTGTGAAACCGGCTAGAGGGGTTATATGAGCTGTTACTGTTCCTGTTTGTGTTCTGGTGTAGTATCGTATCACAGCCTTGGAGTGTTCCTATATGCTTTTGAATTATTTTCATATATTCAACTTGCAAATCTACGTAACAATCTATAGAGGTTGTACAGAAGCAGGGAATATTTTACTCATTTTGTGCAAAGATAGTTTTATCTCCTTCCTGTGTTTATAAAATACATCATTTTATCGAAAAAGTTATTAAATGATTGAAATTAAAGGTTGGGAAGAAAAGTGTTTACATATATTTTATTGTGTGTTTACAAGTTGCATGTAATAAAATGGGAATCCTTGATTCATATCAACATTTCTCAATGTGTGAGAAGTACCTTGGCAACTTCAGACTGCCATTAGTGGAACCTTTATGTAGATTGTGTGGCTTTTGCAGTGTCACAACCCTTTGTTGAGTTGGTCCATAGGCAGAGTACTGCTATGGCTAAGGTGTTCGCTGCAAGTTGCAAAAAGATTGTGTGAAGACCTTGACTACAATCACTGTTCTTTGTTTGTACAAGGTAGTCATGAGGATGCCATTGAATGCAAACTTGAGAATTTTTCAACACAGTGAGCTACTCTCGGCTCTGAATTTTACTGATAAATGATTTGTTAAATTGTTTTGACGAAGATAGTCAGTTAACTGTCCTCTTTGCACCCCTTTCCCCTGAAAATAAAACCTCCCCTCCTGCAGCATGAGGAAGGTATCAAGGTATAATAATTTGAGCTATTTCCCACTTTGAAATGTTTTGCAGAGTGCCACTCCTCTATATGGCTCAGGGTAAATGCAATGTGCTGATGAGTTTAGTGCATGCTCCACTGAAAAACAAACAACAAGCTTGACTTGGAAGTGATGTGCAGACGACATGTAAATGCTCTAACAGAGATACAAATAATCCATTATTTAAGGACCAATAGTTGAATCTTTAGTTGCTTTTATTTTTGCCTTGTTGATGCCATTCTGCTGAAAAGCTCCTCTTGTGAGCAGCCTGTAAATGTTGCTTATTTAAACTCCAGTAATTCTGAACATCCGCTTGCATCTGTGCTGCGTTTGAAGTTGTCATGCTCAAGTTAAAGTATCTGTCTGTGAACTGCATGAATTCACTTGCAACTTTAGATCATGACCATCTTGGTCATGGAAGTTCAAGTTTGGTTGTGTTGTGCATGCTTCTCTTGTCTGATGCTTGATTGTACCTGTCTTAGGAATACTTTGTTAGCTGTAATGTGCATGGTCTGTGTTGACTCTCTCTTTTTTCTGTAGCTTGGGTCTAAAGGTTATTGAACCTCAATTGAATCCTCGCAGAGCTGGCACTCTGATCAGGAAGCACACATGCCCAACTGTCCAGCCGCCTCCCCCTCCTGTTGAGGCTGTACATATTAGTGAGCAGCAGCCATCAGGGTTGGGCCCTGACTCTGGCCCAGCAGCTGCTGCTCTTCCTACTACTGCTAGTGTGACTGAGCTTCAACCTCAAGAAACTGATGAACACAGGTAAGAAAATGCCACTCATGGAGAGTTATACTGGAAACGAAGCAGTTAAGGGAAATCTGGAAACTTCTGTCGTTCATAAAATGTGAAAGACTATCAACAGTAAAAGATCAAACAAGAATGTATCCTCACCCACAGCAACAATAAAAAATACTTCACGCTCATGCAACATACAGAACAGGTTTGGAGTTGAATTTCCATTTTCTGTTTTTATATGCATCATCACTTTTGATTGTCATCTCATCCAATGAGTGAAGGTAGCTTCTTAAAATTATTACAGGATGCAACAAAGTAAAACCTGACAATGTTTCAAAACGGAATCATTAGAGATTAAAATGCTATCTGATCCGTCAAAGTTTTATTTTCTAATACTCAGTTGCCTGGCTGAGATTTGAATGACCTCAGTTGAGTAAATGGAGTTTTGGATTGTTTTGGAATTAGATTTTGATTATTCCAGCATAGAGCCTCATTGTTGGTAGGTGAGAAAGATGTTGAAAATCCAAACTGATTTGAAAATATAAAGAAAAAAAAAATCATTGATCCCTGAGTTGTTAATTACGAAAATAAATGGAAGGAAAGTATAGAATATTTACAGAGATTGCCTTTATCGGAAAGTGTTGGAAGCAGAATTCATGATACACTGTGGGTATGAAGACTAGGCTAGGCAATGGAATAAAATATATATAGCTCTTTCTGTAAACTAATTCAGGCATGCTACAAAATTCTATTATTCTGAATCAAAATTTACTTTGCAATTCCTTTGGATTCTGTCCCCTAGTGCTGCCATCTTGCCTTACTGGATTTATTTTGCGTGTCACATTTAATATTTTATATGCTTTGATTTGTAGACTTGTGCATTAAAATACTTTGTTCTGATCGTAGCAACATGAAGATATTTGACTAATCAAACCTGCTTCGCCATTTTTGTATGTCATTTTCAGCTTTAACTTCTTCATTCTAATTCCTTGCTTTTTCTCCACATTTTACGATACCTTTATTTGAAGATCTACTTTAGGAAACTATCTTCAATCAATTTAACAAATGTTTGCCCTTTCCTACTTGTTCTCTTATTCTCCATAGAGGTTATGTTGTGATTTTTTTTATTTAAATCGTTGGTTAAATTTCAATCTTAGATCTATCTTCTCTTTCTTAACGAGAAATACATTTCTCTCACTATACCGTTACTTCAAATGACCTAAGAACCCATTGCAATATGATACCCTGTTGGATTTTTTAATCTCTAACCCAAATCTGTTATGTTCAGTTGTTGGAAAAACTATTCATAGACATTACACCACACGAGTATATGTGCATAATAGCGTTGACTGATGTCTCACTTGAAAATTGAGGTTTATCCAGTTAGTTAATTGTTATTGAGATTAACTTTATCATTTGAATCCAGTGCAGATCTTTTTAAGATTGATCCTGCAGTGCAGTTAGATTTTCAATTCCCATTTCTGCATGGTTTTTCTGTGCCTGTGCATGCTGTCTTGTCAAAACAGTTGAATATTGCATGTACGTATAACATTGTGATTGATACAGGAGTCAATCAGTTTCTTTGGTTCCTATCACTGTTAGTATTTACAGATTGTAATATTTGACATTTGTGGAATGGCTGGGTATGAATTCAAGCGCATGTTAAAATAGTCCAATGCCTATTCCAACCCAACAATCCAAAGAAAAAAATCAGATTGGTCCTCTTTGAAACTGACTTACTGAAGTTTGTTGAAGGGCTTTGTGTATTTAATGAGCTGCTCAAATAGTTGTAGCAAAGTAATGACCAATTTATGGTCTGAAATAGTTTGTACTAAAATAAAAGCAAGCATCTGTGGATGTTGGAAATAAAACAAAAATGAAGGTGTCAGGGGGAATAAAGTGTGAATAGGGAATGGAGATGGTGCCCAGAGAGCAAGAAGGAGAGAAAAAGGGATAGGCAAACAGAAATTGCTGATAAACTGAGAGAGAGAGAAAAAAATGCTGGATAGGGTGTTAATCAGAAGTGTGAATGGTTGAAAATGGATTGGTTGTGCTGGGAGCATTCCTTACAAAACAGGACTCTCACAATAACGATAAGATCCCCTTGTCTTCACTTTCCCTCTCACCAGCCTCCATCCAAAAAGGATTATAAGATACTATTTCCATCATCTCAAGTGGAATGCTATCACCAGACTCCCATTCTGCTCCTCTGTCTTGTTATCGTTGTGCAGGGACCATTCCCTCTGAGACACCCTGGTCCACTCCTCCACTCACTGCACCCCTCCACAGCACTTTACCATGCAATTGCAGAAGGTGCAACACTTGCCTGTTTATCTCCTCCCTCCTCACTGTCCAATGTCCCAGAAAAACTTTTCACGTGAAGCAATGATTTACCTGCACTCATTCAATCTAATCTACTATATTCACTACTCACAATGTGGCCTCCTGGGGAGATGAAACGCAGACTAGATGACTACTTTGCCGAACACCTATGGTCTGTCTGTAAAAATGACCCTGAGCTTCTGTGCCAGCCTACTTCATGCCACTGTGTTCCCATGCCAACGTTTCTGATTCAGGCCTGCTGCAGTATTCCAGCAAGGCTCAAAGCAAGCTGGAAGTACAGTACCTTATCTTCTGCCTAGGTGCCTTAGCCTTCAGGTCTCAACATTTGAATTTAATAGTTTCAGATGTGTATACCCTCCTCCATGTTCATTACCAGCCCCCCACACCCCAAGTCCTGTTTTGTTTGGATTGTTCCCAGCACAGCGAACCCACTTTCAACCATTTACACTTGTTAGCACCCTATTCAAATCACCATGTTCAGAAATGTTATTACAAACCTCTGGAGCAGGTGGGCCCTCTGGTACAGAGATAGGGTCAGTACTGTAGTGGTTGTAATGAAGTCAGCCAGGTTGACCTCGTGGAATGAATCCCTAGATTGGACTAGATTAACAGCCCCAATCAGAGAGCCCTGGCTGAAGATAAAACGGGAGTGTCAGACATCCTGTTATTCTGACAGCTGGCTCTCCAAGTTCTCTCCATGTGGAAATAAAGGGTGACTTGGTGGAATACCAATCTCTGTGGACTTATTTCAACTACCTCTGCATCACAAGGGACCGCAGTTCCTCAGGGTAATGTCCTCACCTCGACCATCTTTAGCTCCAGCATCAATCATTCCCTCCATCATTAAATTAGAATTGGGGATGTTTGCTGATAATTGCACAATGTTCGACATCACTGGGGGCTGTTTAGATAAAGGAATAATCCATAAGTACACTGTAGGCTCCCTCCCTTTCCCTAGTTCTTGCTGTCATGTGACTGCATTGCACTAAATAACCGACCAAGTGACAGAGACAACAAAACCCCTCTTTCCTCTGACCATAATGTAACAAAATGGAAACTGCCATTGAGCAGGGCTTCATCTTTTTCCACCAGAGATCATTACCACATACATAATGTCCATCTCTTTATTGGATAATCCTTTTTAACTGGAATGTGAATCCACCATTTGCTGCTGTGCAAGATGAAGCTCTGCCCACGCGTCAGTTTCCTCTTTGTTAAACTGCAGCCACAGAAAACAAAGGTTTCAGGTTTTTTTTTCTATTGTGAACTCAGTCATTTAGTGCAGTCAAATGAACACAAGGATAAGAGCTGTGTGGAGAGAGAGAGAGAAAACACTCGGTTGCAGCATTAGTCTGTTACGATGAAAATCTTCCACACTTTATAAAAAGGAGAAATCCCACAAGAAAATTGAGTCCATATCCAGGGTGTTTAAATAATTCTTTTTGGATAAGACATTTTCCCCCAGAAGGTAGACATTTTCAGTTTATATTTGTCAATGGTTCCAGCTGAGCCAGGAACAGGCCCTGGTGAGATTTTGAAACCACAGTATACAGTTGGTTTTTATTCAATGGTTTTAAATCAACTGCTAAAAAAAACAAGATTCCCAACGAAGATTAGTTGATTAGGAAGTGAAGGTAAATGCAGTTGTTTCAGTTTTAAAAAGTATTGAAAGTCAGTGCAATGATAATTTGCCCTAAAAGATTGCATCTGTGAAGTTTGTTTTGTTCCTGTAAGTCTCTTTTATTCCTGTAAGTAAAAACTGCTTTCTGCTTTTAATTATTGCCAGGTAAATGAGAAAGCAACCGTAAGAAAACTGCTTACTCTGGCTGCACAAATTCTAGGGGGAGTCATCACCTGACCATCTACCTTCAAATGCTCCTCCCACAGTTTCCTGTTATTTGTCACCCACTTTGTCAATTGTAATGATCTACTGCTGTCCCAAGGCTTTTCAATGTGTCCTAGTTTTGATTTTTCAAAATTGGTCACCCCATTTCTTTGCTTAATAGAGGTTGAAAGCAATGCCAGTGTTAACATCTGAGCACTTGCTTGGAGGTGGGAAGTAAATTGCATTATCAAACATGCTACATGTAGAGGTGTCTGACAGGTCTGGTTAAACATGCTGAGCATGGGTAGAATTGTCTCCTTTATTACATTGGTGTCACTATTCTGCAGTTGAACTGTTTAAGTCATGAAACAATTGTAATTCTCTAAATGGCGTTTTTGTGACCACTTCTTTAAGATATTGACCCAACCAATTCAGATGCCAGGCCTATCTCCTTTCCTAGCCTTACCACCTTGTAACTTTCATTGACTGCGTGCTAAAGGAGATTATTTAAATAGGAATATTCCACAAGTTTTTATTTCAGCAGATTTTACAAACATTTGACTGTACGCCATTTTAAACTTGAGCGAGAGCAAATGCGTTGAAGCAGTGTTTCAGTTTAAAGATCCCATTCTAGCACTGAGTAAAATAGATTTCTCTTGAGCTGTTGGTTCCAGGAGATCTGATTTTGACAGCTAGAGGAATAGTTTAAGTATTTTTAAACTGCTAAAGGATGTGTTTGAATGTGAGGCTGATAGCACATTAAAGAAATACAGAAATGGTGAATGTCTTATCTAAACTGCCTGTTGTTGAATCTGCAATTTCTTTCTATCAGCTGAGTAAAGTTTCCATGGCATGGATAGGGTTAAGGAGAGTTTACCCATTTAGGATTTAATGACATTTTTAAATTCCTAACCAAGCCAACTTGTGCTGTGTGCTGGAATTGGCAGTAGTCTCCTTTGTTGCTTCTCAGAGTTATGCATCAACATGTTCTGCCTTGCTCCAGTTTCCACGACATGGCATTTCTAACCCTGATGTTTAGAAACTGATTTTACCAGTATTGCAGGATAAACCAGTTTTGTTTGCTTTGGAAGTTGAAGATATGTTCAAGTACCAACAGGGTGGAGGTGGGGGTGGATGGGGGTCTTCTGGCTGTCATGGAAAAAGTTGGGGGAGTGTTGTTCATACAGGGGAGTGTCTTCTTTCAAAGCAGAAATATAATTGCTGGGAATATTAAAGTAAAGTCAGAGATGGATTACACAGCTGACAAAAGACAGTTTTTTTTTAAGTTAGATACTTAATATATTCTGAAAGGAGATCGGATGAGAAATGCCTGGTTTGACCTCTGTGACCTATGTGAAATGTGTAGCAGATGAGCTTGGCTAGAAGACTGTACTGTAAACTTCACTAAATTTTCTCTTTGACTCATTTCAAAGGTCACAGACTGTGTATTTTACCTCATTTTTATAACTGTTTGGTCTAAGTTGGACTTCTGTGACTTAGAGGTGTTTTATGTGTCGCTTATGTTGTGGCCCTTTTTATTCATAGTGTCTTCACATCATGTCCCCCCCCTGCATTGCAGCAGGCAAAGAATTCCTCTTCTCGTGCATCTTACCAGAGTCTCTCACGTTAGTTATGATAAAAATAATTGTTCTGCTCCTACATTAACAGATCCACTTTTCTGACAGAAAATTGCAATTGCAGTTCTTTTAGAAATGTGAAGCATATCTTAAATCCAACTAGTCCCTCATGGTGCAGGTCGTCCTGGGGGTGGGGTGCAAACAAAATCACCCCTGTTTGTTTATAGCTGTCATTGTCTTAGTCTGTGGTTTAAATGTCCAGCAATACAGGCAGTCTCATTGACAGCTCATATGAAAGGGTAAGTATATACGCCAAGAATAAGGTGATTATGCCAGGTGGGGAAGGTGCCAGTGCACAAAGGTGGGAAGGGTGCCAGGTAAGTACTAGCTTTAGGGTAGCTGGGGAGGTGTAGGTGGGGGCTAGTGAGCTGTTGCCTCTGGTGGGAAATTGTTGGGGGTGGTGTTTAGAAAAGGTGCTGGAGTGGGGGTGGGGGTGGGGAAGGTATGTGTCAAGGCTTGGAGGGGGTGCTGTGGCTGGCATTGGGTCCCAGAGGGGAGGAGTTGGGGGACTGGGCCGGGTTGATGGATGGTGGTGGTGTCAGCTGCAGGTGGAAAGTGTGTTGGGTCCCGGAGGGATACAGTTTTCATTACTGACCACAGGGGAGAGCGATAGCCTGTCTGAGGGGAGAGGCGAATGTGTGTTGGGTCAGGGTCTAAGGGAGGTTGCAGTTGGCAGAGTGTGTGGTAAATTAGCAGGTCAGTTTAGTAGTTACCTGGGAGTTAGACTAGGTTTTTCATTGTTAAACATTTCCTAATCTGTAGGCAGAACCCTCTGAATTCTCAGATTTAACTGGTAGTCTTTGGAGCATTCGCAGTGTAAGGGATCTCCATGAGATTGGCCCTTCAATTTTCCAAACAATTCTCTCAAAGTCTGTTATTACTATTCCACAGTGTCGTGGTGCACAAATTGCATCTACGCTGTATAAACGACTATCTGGCTGTTGGAAAATCTGGGAATTGTAACCATGATGAATAATATGTTAGGAAAAGGATGATTTTGGGAGATTGCTTTTGTCTGTCACTCAGCCATCAGTTCAGTAATGCTGAACTGTAGCTTCCACATGATTTATGTGACAATTCTCAGAGGAGCTTACATTTCTCATTATTTTTGAAATTAATTTATAGAGTCACACGGTGCAGAAGCAGACCCTTCGGTCCAACCAATCCATGCTGAACATGTTCCCACACCAAACTAGTCCCACTTGCCTGCATTTGGCCCATTTCCCTCCAAACTTTTCCTATTCTTGTACATATCCAAATGTCTTTTTAAATGCTGTAACTGTACCTGCATCTATCACTTCCTCTGGCAGTTCATTCCACGTATGACCACTCTCTGTGTGAAAAAGTTGCCCCTCAGGTCTCTTTTTAAATATTTCTCCTCTCACCTTAAAAATATGTCCCCTAGTTTTGAACTCCCCCATCCTAGGGAAAAAGACACTTGCCATTCACCTTACCTCTGCCCCTCATGATTTTATAAACCTCTATGATGTCACCCTTCAACCTCCTTTGCTCCAGTGAAAAATATCCCAGCCTATCTTTATAATGCAAACATTCCATTCCCAGCAACATCCTGGTAAATCTTTTCTGAACCCTCTCCAATTTAATAATATCCTTCCTATAGCAGGACAACCAGAACTCCACATAGTACTCCAGAAGAGGCCTCACCAACGTCCTGTACAACCTCAACATGAATCCCAACTCCTGTACTCAATGGTTTGAGCAATAAAGGCAAGCGTGCTGAATGCTTTCTTAACCACCTTGTCTACATGCGACAAATTTCAAAGAATTATTTACCTGAACCTTAGGTCTCTCTGTTCGACAGCACTACCCAGGGCCCTACGATTAATTGTATAAATCCTGCCCTTGTTTGTTTTACCAAAATGCAATACCTCGCATTTATCCAAATTAAACTCCGTCTGCCGCTCCTCATCCTATTGACCCAATTAATCAAAATCTGTTTGTAATCTTAGATAACCTTCAGTGTCCACTATACGACCAATTTTGGTGCCATCTGCAAACTTACTAACCATGCCTTCTAAATTCTCATCCAAATCATTTCTATAAATGACAAACAAAAGTTGACCCATTACTGATCCCTGTGTGATCCCAGTTCTCTCTTCTCACCCTCACTGATATTTAAAGGTGACATTATTTCGCTCAAACAGTTGTGGGATCCAGTCACATCGAGGCTTTCAGCATCTTGATTCATTAAAGTGAGCAATGAAATTGAGCAAGTGCCTGGATCAGACAGTTGCAGCTTTGAACCTTTTTTGGAATGTTGTATTTTACAGATTTCGCATTCTGTTTAGATCTCATGTCAGTAATCTTTGTATCCTTCAGTCCTTCAAAGTCCAAAGAGCCTGCTAACACTCCGCCACTTGTGAGAAATGATGCTAGCACAGCCAGTGCAGGACCGAGCCTGTCACAACCAACTGGCACGGGGCCCCCTCAACTCAACATTGCTGCAGGGTCAAATGCGACTGGTCCTAGTCCACATGTAGTCAGAAGAGGTGAGTTCTCATTATAAGTGACTGGCATGCAGATCAATTTACTAAAATCGTGTCATATATTTGAAATCATGTAATATACGTACTTTTTCTTATTTAAGTTGAAAACGTGATTGATGAGAAAGGCATGTTTGCCATAACATTAAGAAACTAGATGTTTTTAAAAAAAAAAAAGGCATACTTCAAAAATTGACAAGAATTAAAGTTACTATTTTGCTTATTCTGGGCGGGATGCTTCATAATTTGCTGAGAGAGATGTAGTCGTTGAGTCATCATGGCATAGAAGGAGATTGTTTCGTCCATCAGGTTCATGTAACGCTACAGTGTAATACAGACAGTTCAGTTTCACCCCTGCTCTATTCCAATAGGCCTGAAAGTGACTTGTTCAAGTGACTGTATAATAGGTGGTGCTATAGGACTGGAAGATTGCAAATATTACACCCTTTTGGAAAAGTGAATATAAAAAGATAATGTTAAATTTAGCGATCTCTGCCCACTCAGTTTGATCTTTGCAGGAAGAAGCTTTTAGAAAATAAGCAGCAACTTGGACAGTGTATCTAGGTGCCTGGCAATGGAAAGCTAAATGAGAATGTAAGCAATGAGAGGGCACAGTGGCTGCAAACAGATACAGACAGGTTAAATAAGTAGGTAACAAGTTGGAAGAGTAGAATGTGACGAAGTGTGAGGTTAATCACTTTGGTTTTACAAATAGAAAATAATATTTTTCAAACATTGTGCAGTTTCTAAACATTGATGTTCATAGGGATTTGGGTGTACAAGGAAGACAAAGTTAACATGTAGGCTTAATGAGCAATTAGAAAAGTAAATGACACGCCAGCCTTTATCGCTAGGGCCTTAGAGTACAAGAATAATTGTGATTATTGTAAAATATTGTAAATTGTAAAACTGCAATTGTGTGGGATTTGTACAGTGGAGAACTATGCACACTTTTTTTCGCCATTTTTAAGGACGAATATACTAGTCTTGAACTGGTATAGCAAAGTTTCACTAGATTCGTTCCTGAGATGAGAGGGTATTTTCGTCATGAGATGCTGAATTCATATCCTCAGCAGTTTAGAAGAATTTCATTGAAACATACAAGATTCTGAAGGGCAGAGACTTGGATATTATTGCCATGGCTGGGGAATCTACAATAAGGGAACACATTTTATAGATAAAGGGTTGATCAATTACGACTGAGATGAGCAAATGTTTTGTCATTGAAATTTGTGGATCTTTGGAAAGCTGCCCAAAGGGCTAAACATGCTCCATTACTCAGTATATTTAAAACAAATTAGATATTTTTGCTTTGTTTCAGGAAGTTGAAGGATACTAGAACAGGTAGAAATATGGAATTTAGGCAGTAGATCCCAGTAGGGTGGTGGATATAAATTCAATAGTTTTCTTTCAAAAGAACATTGGGTAAATACATGAGTAAAAACCGCAGGAATGTGGGGAAAAGAAAAAGCGAGCACTGGATTGTTTATCAGTATTGCTGGCACAGACTAAACAAACTGAAGGGTCTTCTATGCTGTACTGTACTAGGATTGAGAAATCCCAGTCCATATATTACTTGAATACACTAAAACAATCCAGGTTTCCTAAACTTGTTTCACTATTATTTAATTTCCTTTGTTTTAGGTGCTTACTTACACTGTAATCTTAAAAGATTCAGTGGTCTCTACTGTATGTTCTCCCCTTGATTTTAACTACCCCGTGAGAAAAAACTCCAAATGTTCTTCCTTTCCCTTTGCTTCCTTACCTTCAAAGCATCAGAGAAGTGCTCAAATAGACCAGCTTATGACAGTTAAGGAAATTGATTAAAATAAGTCATGAATTTTATATAGAATAAATTGCAAAAGCAGAATATTGGCAAATAGGGGTTCAAATTAGTGAATGGTAAATTTAGGACTGAGACCAATTTGTCTGTATACATAATGATGAACTAATGGAATGGATTGACAGTAGGAGTAGTGTGGGTACCTTGAGAATTATTAAGGGAACAATTGGATGCCATATTGGTAACTCAGAACTTTTTGGGGTAGATGAGTTAAAATAAGGTGATTGTCTGCCTCGTTTTCACTTAGCTTGTGATCCTGTGTCTTCAATGTTCATACTAATTGTCTTTTCTCTTGCCTTTCAAGCAACGAAAAAGCCTGCCCCCGCTCCTCCAAAGCCTACAAATCCACCTCCTGGGCAACCTGTAGGTCATGGAACTAACCTGCTTGCTAGCCAAGCTTCCGTGCATTCACCAAAGCAGCCTAACCAAGTTGCCAGTCCTTCTCTGAGTCAACCTGGAAACTGGAGTCCTGTTCAATCCCATGGACAGTCAGTTTCTCAACCTACGATCCAGCCACGCAGGCATTCTAGTAATCAAATGGTTATTCATGCCCCCAGTCACCCCCCACCTCAACCTCCAGCACAGCCTATCAATCCTTATCCATGTAAAGCACCTTGTGAGCAAGTGACAGATCAGTCCTCCAATAGCCCACCTGACACACCAACTCCTCCCAGCACCCCTCCATTAGGATCTCACAATACAAGCTTCCATCTAAATCAGCATTTCCCACATGGCCAGGTCTCCCCAGCAAATCAGGACCTGCAGCCCCAACATTCGCTTCCTCCACAGTTTGCCACCTTGCCGAGGGCACGGCCGGTACCAAAGCCAAGAAATCGACCCAGTGTTCCACCACCTCCGCAGCCACCTGTAACATCCCCTGCAGCAAACTGTTCCAGTCCTGCAGAGCAAGCGTTGCCAAATGTGGCAACTACAGCTTCAAAAATGGTTACTGGTGAGTATTTTCAAAGAACTAGCAGATATTTACAATTTGTCTTTTATATGTATTGGAAATTATTTGGGATTTCAGTGCAGTTGCAGTATATTTCCAAGAAATTCCCCAAACCTTTTAATTAAAACTTAATGTGCTAAAGAGAAAATGTTATTAGGTCAATTAGCACCAAAGATTGTAGATGGATTTTTAAATTTTCCTTAATGGCACAGTTGACATCACTTAGAGCATGAAGGGTTTTGGGGAAATATTTTAAGAAAGAGGAATATGTAGCAAGATGGAGAGGTTTTCAATGAGAATTATTCTGGATAGTGAATGACCGACCAAAGTTCAATGGTGCCAATGAATAAGAAAGTATTAGTACCTAAGGTGCTTTCAGAGAAGCAGAGCTTTATATGAGAGAAGCACCACTTTTTACAGTATTAACTAGCATAAAGAAACATGCTTCTAGTTGTTGGAAGTTAGACACCTCAGTCTCAGGACATCACTACAGGAATTTCTCAGGGTAGATATTTTCTAATCAACCTGTTGAGCTATGTTATTGTACACGCATCTGGTGTCGGTAGGACTTGAAACCAAGTCTCCTAGCTCAAAGGTAGAGACACTACCACCACACCACCAGAACCCAGTTCCTCAAGGTAGTGTCTTAGGCCCCAGTGTTCTTCCTTTGTCATAAGCTCTGAAGTGGGATGTTTACTGATTGCACAGTAGAGTCAGAGTCATACAACATGGAAACAGACCCTTCGGTCCAACCAGTCCACGTGTTCCCAAACTAAAGTAGTCTCACTTATCTGCGCTTGGCCCAAATCCTTCCAAGCCTTTCCTGTTAATGAACTTATCCAAATGTCTTTGAAATCTTATAACTGTACCTGTATCCACCACTTTCTCTTGCAGTTCAAACTACTTTGTGTTTTAAAAAAAAGTTGTACTTGTGTCTTTTTTTTTTAAATCTTTCTCCTATTGCCTTGTTTTAAACTTCCCCACTCTGAGGGAAAATACCCTTGTCATTCATCTTAGGTATGCCCCTCATTAAGATCACCTATCAACCTTCTACACTCCAATGGAAAAAGTCCCAGCTTTCCAGTCTATTTTTATATCTCACCTATTCACTATTTGCCCCATGGTATTAGGGGCAAGGTACTGGCATGAATAGCTAATTACCTCCTGCCAGTCAGCCAGAGAGTGGGGATAAAGGGGTCTTTTTCAGGATGGCAGCCAGTGGCTAGTGGAGATCTGTAAGGGTCAGTGTTGGGACCACACCTATTCACATTATACACTAATGATCTGGATGAAGGAACTGTGAGGGTATTGTTGTGAAGTTTGCGGATGATACAAAATAGGTGGAGAGATAGGCAGTGCTGAGGAGATGTAGAAGTTGCAGAGGGACTTGGACAGGTTAGGAGATGATGAGGAATTTCTTCATCCAGAAGATCTGGAATCTGTAGAAGTCATTGCTGCAGAAGGCTGTGGAGTCTAAGTCATTGAATGTGTTTAAGACCGAATTAGTTTGGCTTTTGATTAGCAAGAGGATCAAAGGTTTCGGGGAGAAGGAAGGAGAATGAGGTTGAGAAACGCATCAGCCACGGTCAAGTGGTGGAACAGACTCGAAGGACACAGTGGCCTAATTCTGCTCCTATTTCTTGTGGTCTTATGAAAATCAAAATTAGAATATAAATTTTATTTTTAATCATGGGAAATGTTTAGTTGTTCATGAAGGTTCATGAAGATTGATATTAATACACTGAATTAATTTGTGACTAATAATTTTACATGCCAATGCCTTCACAGGTTTGGGAGGAGACTCTGCGGCGAGGTTGGTAGATTTCAAACCGTTTGCACTAGCAACTAGTCTTGCTGTTGCTCGCTGGGCAGTGCTTTGTCAAAGTTGTGTCTGACATGCTTTTGATTCATGCTAAAATTAGTGCCTCATTTTTTTGTTTGCAGCATCTGTGTGCAAAGTAAACCCCAACACTTAGAGGTTAAGTTCCTCCACGTTCATACTCTTCTCTTGTTTCCCTTTAGAATAATTTCACAGGAGACAGTAATGAAAGACTTGTTTATGTGACTCTCAACATGAATTGCTATGTTTAGTTCCAACTTAATTTATAGCACTACCCTTTCTCTCAATAACTGTGTGGGGGGTAACATTGCAATTGTGAAAAAGTAAAGTGACCTGGCCATGGGGAGGGGCAAAAGAGAAAAGTGAAGTTGTACAACCTGCCCCACAAAATGCAAGCCTCCAAGAAAGAAATTGTCTTCAACATTGTAACCTAGAATACTGGAAATGTTGCATTTTATTGTCAAGTAATGGGAGTCAATTCAAATGTAAAATCAAAAGAGGTCTGAGATCCCTATATCAACGTCATGTAAGAGTCTTGTGATGAAGAGTGGGACAGTGCCATGTCATCATTAGAGAATCGCAGAGATGTTATTTTCCATCTCTCTTCCCTTCGTCTTCCTCCTCCTCCTTCCACTCCGCCATACACCAAAAAAGCTCATCTACTCCATGCCAAACTCAACACGACTGATAAGCCTGGACAAGTCAAGGTTATAGCGTGATTCAGATAGACTGGATAAGTCCCAACTTCGCTCTTGGGCAAGTTTAGGCATAATCCGTCTTAACTGCATGGCAATACAAGATTCAATGTCCTGCAGGTCCCACTGAAAATTTGAATAACTGCACAAGAATTTGGATGGATGCAATCCTTAGAATGCCACAGATCAAGATTAGCTGTTTGGGCAAACCAATAGTGTCAATACTGGCTAAAGAACTAAAACAAAACAGAGTTTTGTATTTATATAGTGCCTTTGTGGAGAAAAAAATGTCGAAGTGTTTCACAAACTCTGAAGCAATGTGGGCACTAAGGAAAAGAAAAATGCTTGGGTTTTACAGAGGCCATGCAAATGAAGATGCTGTGGGTTTTAGGAAGGATGTTGGAGTGAGACCTAGGTGATGGAAGAGACAACAGCCACTGACAATGAATGGGGCGTGCAAGATGCCAGGGAAAGGTTCAAGGAAGTATTGGTGAACTGGAAAACATTACAGAGATTTAGATAGTGTTGATCTTTGACCTTGAAATAAAAAGATCAGAACTTTAAATTTGAACATATAAGAACTCAGAGTCAATGTAATTCAGCAAAAGTGTAGGTGTGCGATTGGCACTTGGAGCAGATCTTATTCAAGGATTGGGGAAAAATAGCTGATATTGAATGAAGGCTACAGTCCAGGGTAGTGTTGGTTGGGTCATAAGGTCGTAGTATAGTGAGAGGATAAAATGCTTTACAGCTAATGAAATACTTTTTGAAGTGGAGCTACCTTTTTAATATAGTGTGCTGTGATGATACATTTCAGTGAATTTGAAAACTTGGATTCTTTCTCTAAAATTTGTGTGTTGAATCTCCTATCCTGTCTTGAACTAATCAAGAGAATGTAATTCCACTGTAACCACATACATGCTAGTCTGGGCAACAGTCTTTGGATTGGATGGGCAGCAGTGTCAGTTGTGTGGGAGCCTAAAGGGATACAAGCTGTTTTAGAGCTGTTTGTAATTATAGTAATATTCACCATGTATGCAGTTTGCATGAAGATATTAGAGCATGCATGTTCTAATATTATTTGGTACTCCTTTCTTCAAGAAAGAATTGTGTAATCTGCTTCCTCTGGGCATGTGACCTTGCCAACTTTGTGTATTTTGTGTACCCCGTAGCTTCAGTTGCAACCAAATAGCTTTTGTGTCTGGACTCTGATATACACACTGCTTGGTAATACAGTCTTTCCATACGATGGCAGTAGTGCCAAATTAAAACAAATCCGATGAGTTCGTTTGTAAAAACTTCAACTTTTGACATGTTAGCATTTTTTTAAGTTAGTTTGACAACTCTGGAATTATATTTGTGGGGGAATAAAGATCAGAGAATTGTGATAACAAGGTGTAGAGCTGGATGAACACAGCAGGCCAAGCAGCATCAGAGGAGCAGGAAAGCTGACGTTTCGGGTCTAGACCCTTCTTCAGAAAACCT